ATTGTGTTCTTCCCTTGATTTTAATTCCTTTAATTTACCAAGTGTTGTCTTATGACCCAGACTGTGGTCCACCTCGGTAGCCAAATCCCGTGCACTTGGGAATAATAGACACCCCTCAGTTGTTGAGTGTGATGTTCTGTAAACACTGCATAGACCCAGATGTTCACCTTGCTTAGGTCTACACACTCTGTCCCCGCCCCCCACCCCTGTCTCCCTTCCTTCAAAAACACTGAGGGGTGGAGCCCATAGCTACTGAGGGGTGGAGCCCATGCTAGGCAAGAGCCCTACCATTAAGCCCCACTCTCTGCACCCTTCATTCCGTTTCTTTTTTCTGTGTGTGTGTGTGTGTGTGTGTGTGTGTGTGTGTGTGTGTGTGTGTGCATGCGTTCAGGTATGTGTGCATGTGTGTGCACATGTGCGTGGGCACACACATGCCATGGTGCACATGGGGAGAGGCAGATCTCTCCTTTCACCACCTGGGTCCCAGGAACTGAACTCCCTCCGATCGCCAGGCTTGTAAGCCAATGCTTTTACCCATCAAGCCATCTCATAGAATCCACCACTCAGTCTTTTTTTTCAATGTATTTGTTTTTATTTTATGTGCATTAGGTTTTGCTTGCATGTATGTCTGTGTGAGGGTGTCGGATCCTCTGCAACTGGAGTTACAGACAACTGTGAGCTGTCATGTGGTGCTGGGAATTGAACTGGGATCCTCTGGAAGAGCAGCCAGTGCTCTTAACCACTGAACCATCTTTCCAGCCCCCCACCCACACCATTCAGTTTTTAATAACTACTTCGGCTTGTATGGCATTCAACGTGTGTGAAACCATCTGGTGATGAGCGATTGTGGGCTTGCAGAGGTGGCACTGGGTGAGATTTCGGGCCAGTTTTTGTGTCACAGAGGTGTGACAGTGCTGACCAGCAGAGATGGTCACCAGGAAAAAACTAAGATCCAAATCAACACACATCAGTTCTGCCCATGTTAATTGCAGAACATTCTTCAGTCACCCCAGTGACATACCTCAACACACCTGCTGTTCTTGCTGATGAAGGGCAGGCCGGCTGCATCTCCCTGCAGCAATGCTCTGGTCGCCCTTCTGGGTCGCTCCTAAACACACAGGCTGACTTCCCCAGCCCACTGAGTTGCTCTCCCAGGGCCTGCATCCATCTGGCCTCAGCCATTGATGAGCGGCTCCTATTTCCTGACTTCCATTTTCGCTCCCTGACATTTCCCGACATGGTGACCCATGGCATGTGTGGGTCTAGGCAGGGGCCTGTGGCTCACTGTGAATGTCTGGGCAGCCTGCTGAACCTCTGAAGCCACCAGAAATCTCTGTCATCTCTGCAAAAGCAAATGTTTGGATAATTTATCCCACGTGTCCTGGCGATGCTGACACCCTGGAGTCTTGTCCAGGCATTACCAGCACCATTTTAAGTTGGTACGTTTTGTGTGCTTCCCACATGTGATCGCTGTAACCGCTTTCTTTTGCTGTGGGAACGATTGGGAAAATGTGCCGAGACACAGGAAGGTGATGGGGCCGCGCAGTGCTGGGCTGGGATTCGACAATTACCATTTGTGAAGAGAAACTATTACCAAAGGACCGGCAGGAGACCATCTTGGGGCAGCTCTCCAAGTCAGGAAATTTGAAACATATATTTCACAGACGTGCATTTCCCTGTAAACCCAGCTGCATAATGCATGAGGCTTGATTTAATGTCATTGTTAATTCGGGGCTCACAATGGCAGGCTCTTAAGGGAGCCATCCTCTCTCTCTCTCTCTCTCTCTCTCTCTCTCTCTCTCTCTCTCTCTGACAGCAGAACTCTGAGATCCTTCAAGTTATTCAGGGTTCTGTGAACACAAACATCATGGGGCTGGGAGGGGTGCAGATTCATGGTGGCCTTTCCAGAGACCGTGGCAGGGACACAGGGGCTGGCTGCCTCAGGTTCCATATTGAGCCTTGCTGGGAGCCCACTTTGTTTGATAGTCTGGGGTTGTTAGAAAGAAGAACGGAAGGAGAGGGGGAGGAGGGAGAAGGGGAGGGAAATGGAGAGGAAGAAATAAAAGGAGATAAAGATATGCAAAGAGAAAGGAAAAATAAATGATAGAGAAGAGAGAAAGAAATAAAAAAAGAAAAATAAAGAGGATGGAGGAAAGAGGAAGGAAAACAGAAGGGAAAAAAGAAATGAAGACACAAAAGTAAAAGAAACAAAAGGGGAAAAGAAAGACTTTTAGGAAAACAGAAAGGAAGGAGGAGGAGAAGTCACAATTAGTTTCATGAAGCTGAGGAAAAGCCAAGTGCCTCGGGGACAGGAAGGACAGGGCAGCAGAAAAAGCAGAAAACTCACGACAGAGCATGGTGGGGCGGGTCATGGGGCAGCACACCTGACTGGAGTTTGGCTAGGGGCGAGAGAAGGGGGTGTGGAGAAGAGAATCAGGAAGCCACTAAAGCCAAAGGCACCAAGGGCTCCTGTCAACCCCCGGGGGTCAGGCCAGGGCTTCAGAGTCCCACCTGCGCTCAGGAACAATACAGGCCAGGCCAGAGCTCCTGGATGCAGGCTGGGTATTTGGTGAAGGATACTTCAGCTGAGGGCCACCCAGGCTGCCGATAGAGGTAGGACAGCACTGACCAAGGGAGACAACTTTATTTTTTTGTTTGTTTGTTTTTTTATTTGTTTTTTTTTTTCGAGACAGGGTTTCTCTGTGGCTTTGGAGGCTGTCCTGGAACTCACTTTGTAGACCAGGCTGGCCTCGAACTCACAGAGATCCGCCTGCCTCTGTCTCCCCAGTGCTGGGATTAAAGGCGTGTGCCACCAACGCCCGGCTTGAGACAACTTTATTTTAATCTCAAATATCTATCAGTGTCTAACCTTTCTGTGGTGTGACAAGTTGTCATCTACAAACTCGGGCTCAAGAACCGAAGGAGAAAGAAAGAAAAAAAAGAAGGGTTAAGTTACATCCACCTCCTCACCCCGCCCCCACCCCTGCCGCCCCAATCACTAACAGCTCTAAATTATAAGTAACTTTGCCATTCTGGGCTGTGCTGTCTCCATAGCTATGGCAGATTGTGTCTGAGCCTCGGGTTAGACACCCTGAGCAATTTTAGTACAACCAGGAAATAAAAGTCGGCATGACTGTTCAGTGGCAGATACAAGTAGATAAACATCCATATTCAGGAGAGGATTCAGCTTTCTCATTGCTGTATGCCCAGACAGGAATCAGGCAGAAGAGACCAAATGTGTCCAGGCTGTCAGTATGGGGGCATGGGCTACAATTCTAGCTCAAGCCACCACAAAGCTAGACTTTCCAGAGATGTATGGGTGCGTGCCGTATAAGCACCTCAGCCTCGCTTCTCCGTGGAAGCTGCAGAGCAGAAGCCTGCGCGGATTCGGACACGGCTATACTAGCTGATTTCTTGTCAGCCTGACACAAGCTGTGGTCATCTGAGAAGAGAAATTTCAGTGGAGAAAAAATGCCTCCATCAGATCGCTTGTAGGCAAGTCTACAGGACATTTCATGACTGATGATTGATGTGTGAGCGCCCAGCTCACTAAGGACAGTGGCATCCCTGGGCTGATGGCCCTGGGTTCTATAAGAAAGCAGGCAGAGCAAACCGTGAGGAACAAGCCAGTAAGCAGCACTACTCCATGGCCTCTGCCTCAGTTGCTGTCTCCTGCCTTGGGTTCCTGCTCTGCCCTTCCTTCATGAGGGACTGTAACCTCTAAGTCAAAATTAATTTGGGGCACAGTGTTTTCCAACGGCATGGCTCTGGGCATGGGTGTACTGTTACTTTCCTGGGTTTCCCAGTCCTCACTTGTGGACTGAGAATATGTCTTGAGGACACAGTGGGAAACCCTTTTAAGCTGGGTTCAATCCCTCTGTGTCCTCTGCATCTCTGGGACAGGAGAAGGGACACTGCAATGGCTGCCTACAAGAGAGGGAGCTGCCCTGCGTGTTCAGCCAAGCGGGTCCTCAGGAGTCAGGGGTTGCCGGTAGCAACACTGTCTGGGCCAGAATGATGTGTTAGCGGAGCCCCACTTCTTAGGCAGGTCTCCATCCTCTCTGGAGTCCTGTAGTGTTAGACACTAAGGAAAGCTCGCACCTTCAGGTGTGCAGGATGTCCTCCACAGGCTCCTGTGTTTAAAACATGGCCCTCAGTTGTGACAATGTCCTGGATGAAGTGGGTAACTCAGGGGTGGACTATGAAGCTCACAGCCTGACCTCATTTCCTGTCTCTAGTCTACTTCCTAATCTGTCCTATGAGAAGAAGCTTCCACAACCATAGCCATTCTTTGGACAGGCACTGGGGTGGTCACCACACAGCTTGGGGCAGCCCCCACCCAGACCTGGAGGGACTGCCAGCAGGTATCTGAGGTGGGCCTCTGCCTGTCCCCTTCTGTCTTCAGCAGGAGTGTGAAAGCAGCTGACATACGGCTCTCCCTGCGATCATTGTTAGCTGTGGCTGATCTGGATCCCAGCAGGAAGCATGTGAGCCAGGCCTAGCCATTCAATGCATCATCTAGTCAGTGATTGGTCCAGGATTGGCACGTGATCTAAGCTTGTCCAATCAAAATAACTTACGGAACTTTTTGCTGGTGACTTTGCTGTGCTGCATTTGGTGATGTACAGAGTCTCTTCTACAACCCTGAGGGGACAGTCTGTCTGAGAATTCCACCGATCTGGAATCCTGGAGGAAAGGAGTAATTGGCCAGACAACTAAGTCTCCCCAGATGACAGCCAGCCCAGCCGGGGCATGTGAAAGTCCCCTAAAGACCCTTGCAGTGTCAGGTAACCCATGGATTGTGGCCAGCCTACAAACCTGTGAGTCCCTGGGTTGAATGGCCTGTCACATAGTGACTGCTCTGGCCCCTTGCTCACAAATTCACACTTCCCTTAAGTCACATTGGGTTATGGCTCAAAACAGTCGCCCTCACAGATGTATTTCACTTTAGTCATAGCCCAGGATCATGATGGACCCAACCATCAAGAAGCACAAAGGTATCACTGAAAAGTTCTGGTTCGTTTAATTCCTGCATCTTCTTACAGACAGTAAGTTCATAAGACAAACAGACACAGATTCCTAGTCTGCAAGGAGGCATCTCCAACTCGAGGTGTCGTCTCTAGCCAGTCAGGGGACGCGGAGGCGAGGCAAGTACGGTGAGGCCCGGGGCGTGCCTGTCTGTGTGAATCCTTTGGTGACAGGGCCAGCCTGTCCCGTTTCCACAGGGTTCTCTGTGTGCTCCCCAGGGGTCTCTTGGGCACTGAAGACTTTGTCATAGTACTCGATCAGCAGCTCCGTGAACAGGTTCAGAGGCACCAGGGCGCTCAGGGAAGCCACCCCCTGTGACGGCCAGATCAAGTTCAGCCCAAACACACATGCCAGGTTTGAGCTGGTCATCTTGTTTGAAATGCTCTCCTGAGACACCTGGAAAATGGGAAATGAAGCCCAGGCATTAGGAGCCTGGATTCCATCCTCACCCCAAAGGAGACCGGTGTGGTAGAGAGAGCTCTGGACTCCATCGTCACCCCTGAGGGGCTAGTATTGTGGGAAGAGCCCTGGAGGGGGAGGGAGTAGGCTGGGGAGATGATGCAATTAGCCTCACCGAGTGCTTGCCACACCAGCCAGAGTTTGGTCCCCAGAATAATCTGGTGCTCACTTCTAATCCTGGCACCAGGAATACAGGGATAGGCGGATCCCTAGGACTCACTGGCCAACCAGCCACCCACTAGCCAGCCAGCGAGGCCTACTTGGCAAATTCCAGGCCAGTGTGAGACCTATCTCAAAAATCAACACTAGAGTCAGTGAGATGGCTCAGTGGGTAACAATAACTTCTGCAGAGCCTGAAATCCGGGTTCAATTCCTGCAACCCACATGGTGGTCAGAGAACCTGCTCCCTGCAAGCTGTCTTCCGATCTACACACACACACACACACACACACACACACACACATGCACGCACGCACACGCACACACACACACACACACAGACACAAATAAATAATAAGCAAATAAAAGAGTTCTGGAATGGAGATCACAGTCAATGTCAAGATCCTATGTGGCCACTTCCCCACTTGGGGCCACAGTTCCTCAGTGTTTCCATCAGTGAAATGTTCTGGTCTTGACGCTGTGGGGACCCTCTGATCCCCCAGTCTGACTTCCAGGATCTCATGGGTGTTCCATCAACTCCCCTTCCACTTTGGCAGACTCGGGGTGGGGGCGCCCAGCACTGCAGATCTAAGCCAGGTGCCCCCTGACTTCTGTGACATGGCTGGTGAACTGAGCTCAGGCTTATGGGGACGGTGGTGAGAGCAAGTTCTTTCTGCCTTGAGGGACCCGATCCTCCTGGCTGACACAGCCACCTGGATGAATAGGATTCACTGCTCCCCATTTTGCAGATGAGGAAACTGAGCCCAGAGGGCAAGGAAGAGCTGCCCTTGTGTGTGAGCAGCACAACAAAAACCAGTTCACACGAGGGCCTGTGGAGGAAGCCTGGGAAATCCTTCTCCACTGGGGGTCTGACCGCATCCTGGCATCCTCGATTGAGTGAGAAGTAACCAGGCAACAGCAAGAGAGGATTGCTTGTGGTGAATGTGGGGGAAGGGCAGAGGGCAGCCTGGGAGCTAAAGTACTTGCCATAAGACCAGAGTTCAATTCCCAGCACCCACAAAAAAAAAAAAAAAAAAAAAAGTGTGACGGCCCATGCCTCTAATCCAGGCACTTGGGTTTGGGAGTAAAAAACAGGCAGTTCCCTGGAGCTCACTGGACAGTTAATAAAGTGAGTAATGAGCGCTAGGAAAGAGAAAGAGCCTTTGTCTCAAACCATGAGACTGGCTGAAGAAGACCTCTAACACTGACATCTGTCCTCCACGTGTGCTTTCACAAATATCCACTCACACATGCATGAGCACACACCATACACACAAAGCCAGCAGTGTGACATCATATGACAGACTGTCCCCTCCGGCCCTCCTGGCTCCCATCCCTGGGCGTCGCATCCGACTGTCAAGCTTCTCACAGGAGCCCAGCTGGACCTTAAGTGACGTCCTTTGGTGGTTAGCGAGTGGAGCGCTGTGACTTTGGACCTGGGGAAAACAGCTCTGGTCTGGGCTTCCTCATCCTGGGAGGCGGACAGCCCCACTCACCTCATGCAGGAAGCACATGAGGTAGCGGAGGACGGTGTAGTTGTGCTCAGGGAGGCTCTGCAGGATCAGGCGGCAGTGGGTCACACGCAGGCTGCTCTCCACACCTGCAACGGCATGAGGCTGCTGGCTGGGCAGCACAGTTGTGACGCCAGCCTGCCCATATGGCTCTCGCCAGCACCCCACCGCTTCTGCGAGGCTCCTTCCTCCTCTATGTCAAGGCTACGGAAACTACTGCCCGTTGGGAAGCAGGGCGGTGAGTCACACTGCAAACAGGAAAAGGCTAGACCAGGGCCAGGCTGGCAACTTACACACAGACTGCAGTCCACATCTGGCCCAGCGCATTTCTTTGCTAATAAAGGTTTGATTTGTTCTCTCTGCCTCCCAAGCGTTGGCATTAGAGGCGTGTACTGCCATGCCGGCGATCAGTAACATTTACCTGAACACAACCATGGTTGTGTGTTGACACACATAGCCTAGAGCTGCTTGTGGGTTACAAAGATGGGGCCAGCAACTGCCATGGAGACTATGGGGCTAGAACATTTACTCTTTGGCCTCTCTAGGATACACACACCTGCCTATGGTTCTCAGGACACATTCGGGGGTGGAGTTAGGGGGATGGATCTGTTTCCCACACGCACCCTCACTTCCCACCTTTGCCCTCTTGTTTGAGGCAAGGTCTCACATGTTCTAGACTGGCCTCAAACTTGCTATATAGCTGAGGATACCCTTGAACTCCTTCCTGGTCCTCCAGCCTCCACTTCCCAAGTGCTGGGATTATAGGTGTATGCCACTATTCCTGGTTTATGTAGCTCCAGGGATGGAGACTCTGTCAACCAATCTACATCCCCAGACCTTCCATCCACAGATGTACACAAGCCTGTTCCAGAGCCCCCGGCCTCTGACATACTGCTGCTCCCTGTTAAGCCTGTGCAGTGACCAGGAGACCCTGGAACTGTACAACTGCTCCCCCGGGACACAGGATTCCTGACTATGAAAAGCTTGAGGGCTTTCTAATAAATGCCATCGTCTTGGGGAACTGAGCTGTGGTTGCTTGGTAATCTCAGTGGACGAGAAGTTTCTTTGCAATTCACATTTCCAAGAAAACGAGTAGCCACCAGCTCCAGGCTGCAAATGACACTGTCTCAAGCCTATCTTCAGAGAACAATGGCTGCAGAGAAGACATGGGGGAGACACTGGCCACCTTGGCTATCACGGTGGTCATTCTTACCCCTTCCCAGGGAAGCAGGCAGAGCAGCAGAATGTCACAACTCTGACTCTGTGACAGCAGTCAGCAGAGCATAGTCTTAATTGCTTTGTGCCAAGGGTGACCTTGAGGTCCTGACCCTCCTGCCTCTGCCTTCCAAGTGCAGGAGTTGCATCTGCATGGCACCATGCCTACTTTATTTGGTGCTGGGGACGAGACCTGGGGCTTCTTGCATGCTAGGTGAGTGCTGTGTTCACTGAGCTGCATCAAGCCCTGTGTGTACTTTTCATTCTCAGATAAGCCCTCGTGGATGCAGAAGAGGGAAGAGAGCACAGAAGGGCTGCGTGGCTTGTGCCAGGTCACACCACTGGTGACCGTGACTTGAGGCCCAGTCAGCTCTGGGCCAGGCTGATGACTCTCCTGACTTCTTGGTCATCAGCAGTGTTCTCCTTGTCTCTGGAGACTACAGCCTTTAGGAAGCTTCCATAGAGCTCCCAGTAAGGGCCTGTATACTTCACTTGAAGGAGAATGTAGCCACCTGGGTAGGGCCACCAGGCAAGCTAGAGTCATTTTCCCCAACCCCAAGGACAATATGGTTTGTTTAATGTCAGCAGCAGCCCACAGCCTCACTGAATAGAGGGGTGGCCCCAAGTTCCCCTCTATTGACCCACAGGGCCAGACTAGTAATGGGCCAAGGTAGGGTGGACACTACCTCAGCCAAAACAGAGGCTGACCAGGAGGCCAGGGTTCTCATGGGTACCTACTGGTGATCCCGAGAATCTGCTCATAGGCTTGGAAGGTCAGCAGCGGCTGGGGCAGCTCTCGCAGAAAGGTCTTCAGGATCACGGCTGGGACATGCATGTCTCCGTAGTCATCAAAGTTCACCGGCTTCCCTGAACACAGGACATGGCACGGCTGAGCAGCTCACTCAGTCCATGGCTTGGAAGCTGGAGGGGGGAGGTGTAGGTCACAGCCATATGTCCCAGGGATGCCTCTGTCCCCACGTGGGGGGGGTGCTGTTCCCCACCAGTTTCCCTCTTCTGCTACTGTCTCCCTCTTCCAGGGTGCCCACAGAGCCAGCTATTGGTTCCCTCTAGGTAAGGCTGGGCTCTGGAAGGAGTTTGAGCTCCAAGGTCAGGGCTTTGGCTCTGGGGCTACACACACAGAGCCAGGCTAATGTCTAAATGCCCAGATCAGAACCGAGTGGGCCTAGTGTTTGATGAGTGAATATGCAATCACGGGAACATGGAGGGCTCAAGCAGGGATGGGGGCAAGTGTTCCTGGGAGCAAGACAGCCACTTGCTTAGTGTTATTTTAGGGGTACCCCCAGCTCAGATGTCAGTTCTTTGTGTGTGCAAAGGTCCTGTGGCCACCTTGGGTGTATGTGCATGCCTATGGAGAGCCATAAACGTGATTTCTCTACCTTGAAGTGTCAGCTCAAGACATGTGGCCACCTGCTGTCAGTGGAGAAGGCGAAAGGGCAGCGAGGGCTGCCTTCCCGCAGGCTGAGGTCAGGACACAGGACTCCTTGCCCTACAATGGGATGGTGGTCGGAGTTCCCAGGCAGCAGCCCCGACCAGGCCTGTTCCTGGGGCTAGGTGGGGTACACAGTTGCCGAGGACTTGGGGGGTGGCAGTTGAGAGTCTGGCAGGAGGGAGGGGTCTGGGGCATCACCTTGATCATACAACCGCTGCACCTGGCGGACAGTCTGGGCACTGGCAGATCTCCGGAACAGACCCTCAGTGTGTAGCCCTGCAAGAAGAAAAGACTTGTAGGAGTGAACCCCACAAAGCTATCTGCCCATGAGGGCAGGGATATGTAAACTAACACAGGTAGATATAAAAGGAAGTGAAAGGAAAAGGAACGCCCCTTTTTCTCTTGGAAGCCAGCCACGCTTCTAACTCCTAGCTAGTGCGACTCTCTTTCTGGTAAATAAATATATTGTTTTCCTTATAGCGTTGAATATCCTCGTTAAGACTGGACATCTCAGGTCCCAGAACTCTGGCCTTCCTGAGATTCTATGACTCCCCTGTCTGCGGCATCAACTTCTGGGGGTGACAGGTCAGGCTTTTCCAGTCACCCGATGTACCACCTCTGGGCCCTCCCTCCCAAGGAGAGGGAAATGCAGAAACAGACAGTCCTGAGCTCCAGTTGCTCCTGCCTCCTAGCAGCTATGTGACCCCAAAGAAAATCCTCGGCTTTTCTTCTATCTAGCATCACCAGTTGGTTGCCTTCCTGCCAGGCCCCTGCTGGCTTCACAACCAGGAAAGAAAGCCAGTCCCGAGCCTACTCCATGTGGGGAAACAGAACCCCATAACACATGGGGACACTGGGCAGCAACCTGGAGGCTGAAGTCCTTCTGGTCTGTCTTGCCTCTCCTTCCTAGCTTTCTCACAGACCCACAGCCATGCACATACACCCAAGGTGGCCACAGGACCTTTGCGCACGCAATGATTCTTCTGTCTTCCGGCCACGATCTCAGAAAGCTGTAAGACCCAAGCCTTCCAAGCCACAGGGCACAACCATCCATGGGCAATGGAGCCCCCAGACCCAGGCTCAACCCAGTCAATGAATCCACTGCTCACAGGGGTGCACACACCCAACAACTGTGTGAATCAGGCATTGGTATTAACAGATCGGGGAACTGATAAAGTAAGCAGCTGGCTCGAGGTCACAAAGCCATCATATGAGACACACACACACACACACACACACACACACACACACACACACACACACACATTTAAAGCCGGACCATCTAAGGCCACACCCGGGAGCCACTGTGTCTACACATCATGTGCTTGCTCAGGCCACAGTTCCAGCAGCACCTGGCTTGTGGGGTGTTTGGGATCTGAACCGAAGCCCTTGGAAAGGCGCTGTTGAGTGTCCCGGCAGGAGCTAGCTCCTTACCTTTCTCCCTCAGGTACGTCACTGTCCACTGCAGCACAGGGGGGATGAGTTCACCTTGATTTTTGTCTTTGAGGCTGAAGGAGAAGAAAGTACTGGCTTATTCCAGACCTTGATGGCAGGCGCGGCCAGGGGAAGGCACTTGGATTCCCCATTCCAAGAAAATACAACATCAAGGAGCGTCCAGGGAGAGACAGTCTCAGACCCCATGAAGCTGCCACAAGAGTTCAAACATTTGGAAGGACAACACAGGCTGGGTCTGCACCCAGAATATACTGTGGAGAATGCTGAGGGGCTGCAGGCTTCCCCAGGGGGCTACTACAAGGCAGAGGTTTTGAGGGATGAATAGGAGCTTGCCAGAGGGCAAACGAGAAAAAAAAAGCATTATAGACAAGAAGACACACATAGGTACAAAAAAATCTGACTGTGACTATGATTATGAACTCAGGAGACCAGACTCATCCAATTTTTAAAAAGTACTTGCTGAGAATGGTGTCACACACCTTTAATCCCAGCACTCTGGAGGCAGAGGCAGACAGATGGATCCTGGTCTACATAGTGAGTTCCAGGTCAGCCAAGACTAGAGAGAGACCCTGTCTCAATAAAACAAAACAAAACAAAAGTACATGATAAAACCATGGGGCTTGAGACACAGTAGCAGCAGATATTGAGAAGGACTTGGTGTAGATTCCGAGTCCTCGGTATCTAGCGCTGACTGGGGACCACAGTGGAGGGATAGACTACAGTGTCTTAGGACAAGTGTCTTTGTGTCACCTTCACTTGCAGGGGGGTTGCCTGTCAGTGTCCTGCCATGGACTGGCCCACACAACCCGCTGTGGGACATACACAGACATAACACACACATCTTGTAAGACCTACTGACTGGGTTATGCTTGCTCCTGCCCTTACCAGGGGAACAGAGGTCCTGGGTGGAGGCCACTACTCTGGCCTGGTGTCAAAAATGACAAGATACATAAAATGAGCTGAACCCCAGTTGCTCTACACACTTCATGGAATCCAGGAAAGAATTCCTCCTTCTGTAACATGCTGAGATGAAGACCACTCGTTACGCAGCATTACCAGAGACAGCTGGCTGAGACACACTTGCTGCTTGTGGGGCTAGGCCCAGAACTACAGGGAAAGGGCCTTTGGGTCTCCTGAAGAGGAAGGTGGATTAGGACACTGAGATACAGGGAACGGGTGCAAATACAGAAAGCACCCACTCTGCTTTATGAGACTGAGATAAATTTTTGTAGATGGGGAAACTGAGGCACAGATGGCTTACATGACTTGTTCGGTGGAGTGCAGAGCAGAGATTTGAACCCAGGCAGGCTCCAGAATCTCACCTCTTCACCATTCCATTCATTCTGTGACTTAAGAGTGTCAGGGTCACCATGTACACATGAGCTGGACACCAGCTCAGTAACAATCCATTTAGAGTGTAAACCCAGACAGAGGCAGAGAGCAGGGAGGTGGAGTGTGAGCAGCAGCCCTGATTCTTCCAGCACAGACCTGGCTGAGCCTTAAGTGAGTGTCATTCCAGAGCTGTCTCCTGGGCTGGCTGAGCCTTAAGTGAGTGTCATTCCAGAGCTGTCTCCAGGGCTGGCTGTGGGATTATCAGGGTGACACGTGAAACATCCTCCAGTCTGCAAGCAGTCAGCAAACCTGCTCTGTTCCCGTGTGAACAGTCCCTGGATTTTTAGGGATAACCCTTAAATACTTGGCTAAGTCCAACCCCAGTGCCCATGTCACAGCAGTGATGGCCTTCACACACCCTGACTCCGTGTGTGGTTTGGCTTCATGGATATCTTTCTCTCTGCTAGAACCACACACATAGGACCCTGGGCAGTCACTGAGTAGCCATGAGACTGGCCCTGCCTCCCAAGAAGCCCAGGAATGGCTTCCACGCCTGTCCCATGGCAGCTTCCTCTTTGCCAGCTGTTGAGGGGGTGATGTCCCAGGGGGGAGGAGGGGACGACAGGGCAGTGGCAACAGGTGCTGCATCCCTGATTTCTAGGAAGGCAGATGAACCGAGCCAGCCCTTCCCAAAGCTGTGCTGCTGCCAGCCAGATCCTTAGCTTCCTGAGCCTCCGGCTTCCTGGTTCTGGAAAGCAAGGGTGCTTGCTGGCAGTCCTCTCAGGGCCTGAGGGGTATAGAGGTGTTGTTATATAAGAAGCCAATGGTGCTGGTGACAGAAATGAATCTCAGGCCAGGACCGAGTGGTGTCCCCCTAAGCAGATCACAAATAATCCACAGCAGAAGGGAACACTGGGACCCAGTGAGCTGTGATGGCATCCAGGTCACACGGTAGTGATCAGGCTGGCCATCATTCAGGGAGAGCCCTGCTCAGCATGTGACAAGGCTGAGCCACTAAACACCCCCTTTGCCTGGGACTTCGCTGCACTTTGCTGTTTAAAGCAGACCCTTCAGGGACTCGCAGTGCCTTCGGGACCATCCAACCCCGCCTCCTCTGGCAGTGGAAAACCCAGGTCCCCCAAGGGGAGAGATTTTCCCAGTCTTGGGTCCACTGGCCTCTGGACCTAAGGAGTGGCGTTCTACCTCCACCTGTCAGAGCTTATAGCATCAGGGGACCTGGCCAGAAGTTGCTGATACCCACAGGGCACCCCCAGTTCTGAGTCTCTGCAAGCACCCTGTAGTCCCAAGTCCCTACTTGCTGGCCCCTACATAGCTCCATGGTCTCACAGTCAGTATGGAGAACAACAATTATCTCCTCCAGGAGAGCAGATGGGTCCCACTCACTTCCTGTCCAGGAGGGCAATGGGGGAATGTCACACCATGTCCCTCCTGAGCACCTCAATAGCACAGGCCAGGGTCAGGTCTCTGTAAAGATGCTTGGGGCACATTTAACACATCCCCTGAGCTGAGGTTCCAAGGGGGCACCTCCAGAAGCAGAGCAGGACAGAGAGCAATGTCCGGGCAGATGGGGATTCTCTGCTCCTAAGCCTGCCCATCCCCTGGGAGAAGGGCTTGGCGTCAGTCAGAGCGGGATTTTTCCTACTTCTGCATGCATTGTATGCGGTGAATGCACAAACAGGAGTGCGGGAGTAGGGAGGGGAAAACACTGCAGCGAAGCCGGTTACAGGCAGTGTGAGCGCCTGGGTCTGTCCCAGGGCATTGGCTTTTCCAGGCCTCCAAGGCAGTCAGTGTCTCCTGAGCCTATCCCAGACCTCTGAGATTCAGTTCCCACGATGGGAGGAACGGCTGCACCGCCCACCACCACAGAACTCCTTGGCTACAAGGTCAGCCTAGGCAGCCAGACAGTGCCAATGGGTTGGTGGCAGGTGGCTGTGCATCACATGTCTTTGGAAGTCTGTTAGTGGCATCATTTCATCCCCATTTTTGTAGAGGACAAACAGAAGCCCAGAGAGGTAAATTATTTTTACTTCAAGTCACATTGCCTAATGTGGGCTACAGCTAGGGTTGAAATCAGGCTAAAAGATGGCTCAGCAGTCAATTGTGAGCAGTCTCCTATCCAAGGGACCTCAGTTCAGTTCCCAATACCCGTGTGTATGTGTGTGTGTGTGTGTGTGTATGCGTGCGTGCGTGCGTGTGTGTGTTGAGATAGAACTCTCTATATATCGCTGGCTGTCCTGAAACTCACTCTGTAGACCAGGCTGGCCATGAATTCACAGATCTCCACCTGCCTCTGCCTCCTGAGTACTGGGTTTAAAAGCCTGTGCCAACACACCTGGCAACACACAAAATACACAGACTAGAGCTTGTTAACTGAGTTGGGGGTCTGTAGGCAGAGACGGAATGTTCTGGCATTAGACAATGGTGGCATCGCCCACCGCTGTGACAACCGTCATCCACAGAATGGCATACTTAGAAAAAAAAGGAAGGTTACCCAATAATCCAGGCCTGCACAGCTCCTGGATTCATGCACACGTCAGTCCTACATCTGGTCACTGAACCCTGCTCTGAGGAACAGGTGGGTGACGTGGGTATGAACACGAGTGTGTGGAGGGGAGAAGTCTACACACCCTGTTTTGTGTGAAAGGCTTCCTGGAGGAGGGGATAGCAAAGAGTGCATATTCTGCATGCTCTGTGGCAAAGGCCCATGGTCACAGGCTGCTGGATGGGGTTAGTGAGGAGGCAGTGGTTCATATCTAGACTTCCTTTTCCCAGACTCACAACTTCCCAGAGGGGACTCACATCTCTATCCTCCCTCCTCGGGAACGGCAAGCAAGCCTTGATATTTCTCCAGTGCTAGGGACGGAACCCCGGGCTTTGCACTTATAGGCAAACCCCTCTGAGCCCTGGCCTAGCCGGAGTGAGACCTCCAACTCCCTGACTTTGCCTTCCTCTGTTGGCTTAAGCAGCTCGTTTCAAGTGATGGCTTTCTGTTGTGAACTTAAATCAGCAAATTAACATTGGCGAATAGGCTTTGGTTATGAATTTTAATGTCTCCCATTCATTCGCAGTCCAAACAAATTAGATATCTGGTGCTTTATTTAATACGTTTATTGCCATTTTATTATAGTCATTGGCAATGAGACAACATAAAATATTAATTTAAAGGAGCAATCACACAGATTATCTCTTAAAGTGGCATGCACGGAATGTATTCAAAGGCATCTGACGCTGCTTGCTGTTCCCTAAAGAGATAATGAAGTGGATTTTTCTGTGTGGCGTTGGAGTGGATCGTGGCGGTAATGCACACTAGGCAAGAGCTCTGCCACCAAGCTGTACCCATCTGTCTGTCTGTCCAATGTACCGATGGTTAAGAGCAGTACCTGGTCCTGGAACAACAGTAACTAGCAATGTGACAGTTCCAGCAGCGTCCTGTCCACTGACAACCTACCCTGCAAGTCAACATACCCTGCAAGTCCTCAGGTCACAAGACCAAGGTGTCCCTTGTGGCCTGGTTGTATGTCTGTTTGCTTCAGAAGGAAATACCCCCTCCTGAAGTGAGCAATGGTTAGGATACATGTTTGGGGCTTTCTACAAATCTTACAGGGAGCTCCAGGGGTGCAGCTTTCCTGGACCACCTCCTGAGCTGTCTGTGGAGCTTCTCAGAGATGCAGTTGCCCGAGTCACCTATGCCCCCATGGGTGACCCCATCAATGCACTGGTCTACAGGGTAGACTTGAACAGAGACCCCTCTTTAGTCTGTTAATCTCTCCTATCTGAGGTGAACTTTAAAAACAACCTTCTTCAGAAATGGAGAGACAGCTCAGCAGTTGCAAGCACTGTCCACTCTTCTAGAGGACCCAGGTTTAATTCCTATCACCCACCTGGCATCTCACAACCATCTGTAACCTTGGTTCCAGGGGACCTGATGAGCCCTTCTGGTCTCCATAGGAACCAGACACACACATAGTGTACAGGCACATGCATACAGGAAAAATACCCACACACATACAACCAAACAAAAACCAAATCTTCTCCCAAGAAGGTAGTCAGTCACACAGTAGAGCTGAGAGACCAATGACAGCCACCAAAAGTTTCCTGTACACATCACTCAGGTGTGCATCGTACAAGCCTGTGTGTTACACTTGTTTTTCACTTTCAAATGGGGGTGTGTGTGTGTGTGTGTGGTTGTGAGTGTGAGGGGGACTAAGGACAACCTGGGGTGACATTCTTCACTGTGCATGCTAGTTAGGTTAGGCCAGCTGGCCAGTGAGCTCCAGATGTGTCTCTGTCTCCACAGTCTTGGGATCACAGGTGCACAGCACACCATAGAATATGATGAAACACAGTGTGTTCTGGCAACATGGCAAGTGCCCCTAGCCCCATTTTCGGTTTTGATTTTTACAGATAAGAAGACAGGTGTCTCTGCAGGGTATAATGGGCATGGCTGGAGCCTCTACACTAAGGAACTCTGAGTGGCAGAGCCCCTGGGGACATCAGCAGGCCTCAGAAACATTGTGAAAATTGTCACTTGATAGTCTGGGTCTCCCAGTGACAAGCTCTCACGGAGATCCCTAGAGATACTTGTGGTCACTGTCCTACCTGCCTTTAGGGTGGCCACCAGGGGCATCTGTGATGTGTGGACCCACCAGGGAGTCACAGCAGCATACTCTTTAGTGGCGAGTTTGTGTTCCAGTTTGGGGGCCAACTATTTCACCATATACTGCACTTTCTCTCTGAGAACATGTCTGGGTGGGGAGGCACTACGCGGTCCAGTAGGAGCAGTCACATGGGCTATTCAAGTTGTTCAAACAGGAAGTGGTCATGCACTCACCCAACCTGGAGTGGGTCCTGCTGACCGTGCTCATCACAGCAGAAAGCCCCATTGGACAGTGCTGATCCAGGGACACACACATAGGCAGTAACAGTCCTCTTTTGTGATATCCCAAAATGCCCCCCTCCTCCCCGGCAGACTCATCCTGCGTGGTCCACTTGGGTCACCAGGCACACCCCTGTCTTGCTCAGGGAACTCTGTTCCTTGCTAGCAGGTACAGAATCACATGACAGCTTCCCTTCCACCTCCTGTTGCTTCCCAGCAGCTGTGATGTCTGATTAGCCTAAAACATCACCTGACTTGCCTTACAGTTTGAGTCTAGGTGTGGGGCTGGTACCTGGAGGCTCCAGGGACGTACTCTTTGCTTTTCCAGCTTCACAGCTTCTTGCTAATATAACCCTGGGATGCCCTGGGCTCACCAAGGTAACCCAGAGAGCCCCCATCTCAATCTCTAATCACATCTGCAAGGTCCTTCTTAGAAGCCAGGTGCAGCCACCGGCTCTAGGGGTTAGGAGGTGACATGTACTGGGTACACTTTGTCTTCCATGCATGCAGGGTGCATCGCAGGCCGTTCGAGCACGCCAATAGTTCTTATCCTAGAGCCCATAGGAGGACATCAGGAGCCCTTCCCTGATGATTCAGGAAGGACAAGGGCAAGCTTGAACCCCCACCAAACTTCCCTTAAACTCTTCCCAAGTCTGCGTGGACCTTAAGGATGGCCAGAGTCTTAAGTGAAAAACCAAATCTCATGTGCATTTCCAATGCAAAGCAAATGGCCGAGGTAGAACATGCAACAGGCCTCGGACACCTGCCTGTGCGCAGCAGGCCCAGCTCTTCCTGAGCGCTGTGGGTGATCTGACTGCTTCGGCTGCTGTAGGATAAAACATTGCCTTGGGGGCTGGAGAGATGGCTCAGAGGTTAAGAGCACTGGCTGCTCTTCCAAAGGACCTGGGTTTAATTCCCAGCACCCACATGGCAGTTCACAACTGTCTGTAACGCTAGTTCCAGGGGATCTGACACCCTCATACACAGACATACATGCAGGCAAAACAACAATGAACAAATAAATAAGTAAATATGTTTTTTTCAATTGCCTTGGATTTTCATTGGACAGGTCTACTACCAGGACAGGAGACCCAAAGAGGGACAAACTCGCAACCCAGAAGGTGAGGCTAGAACCTGGATTAGGGCTGGGCTGGGCTGATTGGGCACCAGGGAAGGCTTCTGGAGGAGGAGTCCCAGATGAGTGGGAATGAAGTTGGCCTGGCAAACATGTAGGGGAAGATGGAAGACCCACTAAAGTCAAAGTTCCATGAGAGTGCATCTCACTTGGAAGATGACAGGAGGGGTCCTAACCAGAGGCCTGAAGGCCAGGGAGCCAGACCTGAAGGGTGACCAGAAAGCTCTTGCCCTCTACACACACACACACACACACACACACACACACACACACACACACACACACCACTCAGAGCAGTGGTCACTCAGCCTCAGTGGGGACTTGGCTCTTGCCTCCTGTAGAGTTAAACTTAGTCACTGCAGGCAGAGGGCCAGGGGCAACCTCCCAGGACACAGAAGGGTCCCAGTGTTCAAGGTAGCCGAGGAGCCTTTCCCCCCACCCCCATCACTTACTATTGCAGGCTAACACCAAACTGCTGGGTGGGCAGAGGCGGGCGAGGTGGCGGAGTCTTAGTGGGAGGGGGCAGATGGCCTTTGTGCAGGTTTTGCAGCTTCTCGTCATACCTGTGGACACAACAGGAGAGCGTCACCTCACAAGGGGACAGGCTTTTGGCCATGGAAACCATCTCCAAGCGCTCTACGTGGACCAGGCTTCAATGGGAAACACACAGTCCTCTGTGCCCTGTCTAAGTTTAGAGGTCCTGGGCGGGGCCGCACCTTCAGAGGGAAGTGAAGCGCTCAGAGTCAGACCAGGCTCGGGAGCCCTGCTGGAGCTGGCATGCCTGGCACAGGCCTGAAGCTAGGGGGCTCCTCTACAACTGAGACCCTGTGCTCTGGCTTGCCACAGACACTCAGTGAGACATTCAGCAGGAGCTGACCGGAAGCTAGCTGTCTTCCGGAGCCCCTGCGCCTGCCACTCCTGGATCATTTCATTCTACACACAGCTCGTCTGCTCACCAGGGATCCCCTTTCATATCCGGCTCCGAAGCAGAACTGCAAAGCCGTGCCTCAGCGTGTTTTTAATCAGTTTTGCACTGGCAGTGAGAAGAGCGAGCCTCCCGCCCACGCGCAGCCTTCAAGGGTCGGTCTCCCGCGCATGCGTGTGGATAGTAGACCCCCCCCACCCCCAGAGCCATGCCTGGGGATGGTGGGCACTCACCGTATTACTTCTGGGGGGATGAGCAGCTGGTCGCACTGAAGATGTTCTCGGAGCTCACGCAGGCTGCTGCAGTAGGTGACCTTTTTCCCAAACTTGTGACTAAGGAAGGAGAAACAAGAGAATAAAAGAATGAGGGGAAGGAGAAAGGGCTGCGGGAGTTGGAGTGCCGCACATAAGACAGGCCATGCACTGAGACCCGGAATGCGCCAAAGGCCCTGAAGGCTTGCTCACCTGTAGAAAGTAGCTATTGGTCTCCAGTTTGAACTGGCTGTGAATTTACATAGAGCAGACAGCATAGGAGCCCCTTGCTGTGTGGAAAGGATGTAGGTGTCTTAGTTTCTCTTCCTGCTGCCATGATAAAACTCAGACAAAAGCAACTTAAGGGAAGGTAACTTATGTCAGCTGGAGGTTCAAGGTCCTGTCCATCATGACAGCGAAGTCAGGACAGCAAGAGCTCTAGGCAGCCCTTCACATTATGTCTGGGCCAGAAGAAAAGGCACGCATGCCCACAGGGGGGAGGTTGTCCCACCTCAATTTATGAGATAATCCCTCCCAGTCATTCCCAGAGGTCCCTCTCCTGTGTGAGTCTATATCCTGCCAGGATGACCTTAATCACCACTGTGCAAGGCTCAGAGGGCCAGTGGACTGAGCTTACCTGTTTGGAGACACCATGGTCCCAGGTGGTTTTGTGTTGAGCCTTCTTCCCTGCTCCCTGACCCCACACAGAGACAGGGCAGGGACCTTGGGAGACTCCCCAGGGGTGTCTCAAGAGGCCATGGGGAGACAGCATAGCCTCTGCCATCAATTCTATCTGCTCCCAGAAATCTGGGACAAGTCCCTTGACCTGCCAAGGCAAGGCCTGGGTCCCGCTGATACAAACTCTGAACTTGAGTCATTTTGCAACATTGCAATGACCAAGAAAAAAAGGCAGGTTACATAAAGGCGCCAGTGTTGTACCGTTGGAGATACTTTGGCAGCCTGATTTTTGTTGTGACTCATAGCTGGGTACAGAGGCCACACTAGCTGGCATGCTAATGTGGATAGGAACATTCCACAAGCTCCCAGCCCCAGACGAAGAGCCAAAGGTGGTAAATGGTTGCTGAAAAAGGAAGAATCAATTTTTCCATGGAGGAGCCCTTACATCATAGACCCAATTCCAAGTGGTCAGCCCTGGACATCTCTACAGGGGAGCAACAAGTGTAATTGCCCATGTAGTGTGTCTTTGGATGCTATCGTGTTTAAAATGCTTAGTTTTTGAGAATTGTTATTTAAATTGTTGAATCAAGTTTCATTCTTCAAAAAAAAAATCATTAAATGAGTTTGGCTTGTGAGTAGGACAGGATTTCCAGCCATTTCTGAACTGTGTGTAAGCAGGTATTTGCTACTTTCACTGAACATTTATACAAAGCACTGACCACCTCCGAGGAAATGCTAAAGATGCTGCACCTGTTGTCTTATCAGCTATTCAGCTAGGACTTGGTTCTTCATGTAAAAACAAGGATACCCATCTTACTAGTATGTGAATTTGCTTTTGTCTTTAATAAATTTGCTATATACAGTTTATGTGTGTGTGCGCGCACACATGCACATAAGGAACTATTGAAAATAAATTTCTTCATAAATTAAAAAAAAAAAGGCAAGTTGCGTGCTCAGGAATGCCAGTTCTGCTGTGTTTAGAACAATCTGTGTGTTCTTCACTTTATAGATAAGGTAGAATTAGCAGTCCAAACAAAACAAGACCTCAGGGATCGTGATAAGTGTTACACCCCTGTGAACAGTATAGAATTCTGGGTCCTGAGCCAACTCCAGCCTAAACTACTTCCCACACCCCAAGGGAGGCCAAAGCCTGTGCACTGGCTCCCTCTGGTGGACAAGAGTGAATTGGACCTGGAAGCCAGATTTCAGCCTCAAGCAAGGCAGTTAGTTTCACAAACTGCAAGGGCTGTGGAAGAGCACAGGCACTGGGTCCTGAGGAAGGGGTTGGAGCAGGTCCTGTGCGATGTCCTTACCACCTGTGCATCCAGATAACAGACAACTCAGGGACAGTCTGGCCTCTGCTCTGAGGACACTAAAGGTTCCTCTGGGGTGTGAAAGGCTGTTAATGCTTTGGGTTGGACAAGAGGAGCCCACTGAGCCTTCAAGGGGCCTAGCTGTTTTGTGGAATTGTCCAGTGATATCTGCTTCAGCCCTGTAGGGTCCTCCCATGCCACTCAGGAGGCACACACACCCTTTCTCTGTGAAGCTGCCTGACAACTCCGGCAAGGGAGTCACCCTCTGGGCGAGTAGACATGACCCATCTGGCCTTTGACACTGGTGAAAGGGCCTAGGCAGCTCAGTCAGGAATTCCAACACAGGCATGGGACAGGGTTTCTGTCACAGCCTCAGCTTCCAGGAGAAACCGAGTCAGGATGATTCTCAGGACCCAGGTCAAGCCTGTTTGGTCCACCCTTCATGCTGGGTTCTGTTGTTGGATCCCAGTCCTGAGTCCTTTACTGGCTGTGTGACCCCAGGAGACTGTATAACCTCTCTGAGCACCAGCCTCCCCTGTTTACAAGTAGAGAAGGCATGGGTGACCACGTAAGATGGTTTTGGTGTATGTTACCTAAGGTAAATAGATAATCCAATCCCAAAAAGGACAGTTTAAACCATTCTAGAATAAATCAGGCAGGGTGGGTCACGCCACATTCCATAGAGTACCAGGGCAGTGGGGAGGCAGGCTGAGCTTCAGGGCAGCTGAAAGGGAGGGATGAGGCTTGAGGTACGAACACGCTGCAGCATTGCCCAGGAGCCACTGATGACGATGATGATGGATGTGTGTGTGATGATGATGATGATGTGTGTGATGATGATGTGTGTGATGATGATGATGATGTGTGTGATGATGTGTGTGTGATGATGATGATGACGTGTGTGATGATGATGATGTGTGTGATGATGATGATGTGTCTGATGTGTGTGTGTGTGTGTGCACGCACGCATGTGTATACACATGCACACAGCAGTGAAAATGTGTGGAGTAAACGTGTGTGCCCACATCAGCGCAGGCAGATGTTCAAGAGCGTGTAGTAGCGGGGTCCTGGGGTCCTCAGATATAGATGGGTGGTCCACAGGCAGCAGTCAGGGACCCAGGGCAAACTAAACAACTTAAAACGGCAGCAGCGCGCCCTCCATAGGTCCAGGTCAGTGGGGGAGTCCGGGAGTGGGCGAGGCTGCAGTCCTTTGATTCTTGCACTTCCGAGAGGCGCCTGTGCCCCTAGATGTGGGACTCCTGCCTCCACCTTCAAAGCCAGCAGGGTGGCATCTTTGAACTTCTTTCCTGACATTGCTGGCAAAGACTATCCATTAAAGACCCCAGAGACCACCTCCCAGTAGAACGTCCCAAGTTGTCTTCTGTCTGTAACTGCTTGCCTTAATCTCATCTGCATAGCCCCTGTGCTATGGAATGTGACATACTTGCAGACTCTGGGACCCAAGTTCAGAGACCTCTAAGGCCGTTCGTTGTCCAGTGAAAAAGGGTCCTCAGGCCCCAAGGACTGTGTTCTGAAGGCTGCGTGTGGTGACAGAGACTTGAGGACACAGCAAGGTGAGACACATAGCTTAGTTCCAGGAGCAATCGTTATAACTAAACTTTAAAAGCTTTACATCACCAGTAGATGCCCTTTAAAAAGGACATAACCATTGAATATCTCCCAACAACTTCTGAAAAATCACTCAAAAGATTGCAAAGTATCCTTTTTAATTTCTAATTTTTGAGGCTTAACTTCTTTAGGCTATAACATATGTACCAAATACCTCTTGAAAATTACTTAAGGTGTGTGAGCAGCAGTCTTTCCTAATCCAACTTGTAAAGTTCTCACTAGCTGACAAGGCCTCATTTGCATCTTAGCTTACATGACCTAATTTGCATCTACACTGACACCTCTGTGGGTGGGGCCTAACAGGAGGGCAGTTCCCCGAGGCTTCTCAAAAGCCTTTTTTCAAATCCTGAAGCTTAGTCCTCAAAGAGTCAGGTAGGAGATGGGGAATGCAGGAGAAACGGAGTTTTCCATGTTTTCCATGTGGCTGGTGGGTTGGGCTGCCTTCCTGAAGTCAGAGGGGAAATGGGAACGTACAGAATTGCTGTGGACTATTCCTGTACACTGTGTAAATTATGCTCTGATTGGTTTAATAAAGAAGCCGAATGACCAACAGCCACATAGGATAAGGTTAGGCAGAAAAGCCAAACTAAGGAAGGGGAAAGGAAGGGCGGAGTCCAGGAGATGCGAGCCAGCTGCCAAGAGAACAAGATGTTCTTGAGGACAGGTAAAAAGCCACGAGCCGTGTAGCAAAGCATAGATAAAATGATGCGCTAATTTAAAGGTGAGAGTTAGATAGTAATAAGCCTCAGCTGTTGGTAGAGCATTAATAATTAATATAAGCCTCAGAGTGATTATTTGGAAGCAGTTATGGGATGGGGCAGGACAGAGAGACTTCTGTTTACAGAGAATGATGCAATGCCTGACCCTCTCTCTCTCTGTCCTGCCTTCTCTCCTATACACAAGGCACAGCACGAGCCTTCTGTGTGGCCATGGGCTTGAGAGAGCCGAGTGCATTATCAGTGACAGGCTTCTGAGCCACTGTGTGTAGAGCAGGAGGAAGGAGGAAGGGGGTGACAGGGACATGCTGGAGGAGGAGACAGCAAAGGCTTTTGAGGTCGGTGTCCAGCAAGGCGTGATCACCCCTATGTGTGCGCCAAAATGCTCCTTCTGAAAACCCTCCTGGAGGGACACTGCCACCCCTCTCTGGATGCGTACCTCACCTGACTGTCCCAACCTGCCCCATTCAAATACTGGGTCCTCTTGAACGAAGCGCTCCCACCCACCATGTGGCTGGGTGCAGTTTGTGCCTGACGCTTGTGGCTAAATGGAGAGGATGTTAAGATGCCCATGGGGCCCTGACAGAGCCAAGCCTTGTGATCAGTTCTTCCCAGGGCTGCCCCGAGAAATCATTGTCCAGTGAGAAAGAGCCAGACATCCTGGAAAGAGCTAACAGAAGTCCCCAAATTTCTGGGCTGTTTGCCCAGGTACAGGCAGTAAAAGATTAGTCCACGGACTTGAGGCACCCATCCTGAGCTTCCAGGAAAGTCTCTGTTCCAGAGAGGAAGCCTGGAACATGGCCATGGGTCAAATCCCAGTGTATACCAGCAGGTGATTGAGGCAGGGCCTCACTGGGCTGTGTGTCTGCACCCAGAGGGAGTGGAGACAGAGTCACTGGGGCCAGCATCCACACCTACAGGATCAACCCTAAGAAAACAGCTGGGTGGGTCTTAGGAACAAAGCTGGGCTTCCTCACCATGTCACAATCAGCCGCAGGGGACAGGCTGTCCCAGGTCATTTCCCAAAGACAGAAGATGGGCGCCCACGTGCCTAAGTCCCAGCCTCTGTATTTACACGGTTACCCTGCTGTGTAAACTGGAGCCCTTCCTGCGCTTTGTGAACTTGACAAGACACAGACAGAAAATGAGGGCATTCGGGTCATGGGGTACTTAAAACACCAGCTGCGATATCAATGTCACAGGCCAGTGTTCCCGTCCACAACCTCAGAGAGTCAGAGTGTGTGGCCTGGGTGGCCATGTGACCCCAGAAAACCCGTGTGTGCCTCAGAGACAGACCTGCATGGAGCCCTCATGGAGAGGCGTGCCTCAGAGATGGTGGTGTGGGGTTCTAGAGCGCATGCTCACCTGATGAGGGGCTTGAAGATGTTCCACAGAGCCTTGATGAAGCTGGTGGGGTGCACAACATAGAGCGCCTTCAGGTTCTTCTTGTACCTAAGGAGGGAAAGGTAAGGTGACTGCAGCTCCCCCAACTCCAGCACACTCCACACTGAGGGCCTCGCAGCAGGACCGAGCCTCAGAAAATCCACTTCTCAACCAAAGGACGTGGATTAAAACCCAGAAAGAACTGGGTGTGGTGGCGCACACCTTTAATCCCAGCACTCAGGAGGCAGAGGCTGGTGGAGCTCTGTGAGTTCAAGGCCAGCTTGGTCTATGTAGAGAGTTCCAGGCCAGCCAGGGCTACCCAGAGAGACTGTTTCAAAAACAAAACAAAATCAGAGACCAGAAGAGGAAGGGACTGGGAGATGGATCAGTTGGTAAAATGCCTGGAACCCCAGAAAAGCTGGGTGTGGGGGCAGGTGCTTGTAATCTCAGTGCTAGGAGGGCAGAGGCAGGAGGACCCCTGGCCGGCCAGTCTTGCCTACTGGGCAAGTTCTAAGCAAATGAGAGTCCCCATCTCAACAAACAGGGTGCATGATGGCTAAGAAAGAATGATGGCTGAGGTTACCCTCTGGCTTACACAATACCACACACCACACACCATACACACACAACACACACTCACACATATACAACACTACAACACACTCATACACAGACTCACACAACACACTCATACACACACTCACACACACACACACTCACACACTCACACTCACACACACCATAGATAGTAATTAAACTTAGAAACTCTGGTCCATCCACCTTGGCCCGCCCACTGCATAGTTTACTCTGCATTCGTGTGAGGTGGTGTGTGTGATGTGTGTGACCTGTCACTGTGGATTCTCTTGCAGATGCTGGGTGGAGGGCACGGAGCACAGCCCTAAACCAAGATGACCTGGCTGCAGCTTTCAGAATTAAGCCTGCCCAGAGGGCTCACCAGTAGTGATATCTTGTGGGTAGTGCATAAGGCCATGGAGGGGAGGGACAGGATTTACTCCAGAGATCATTGTGAGGGGCCCCAGCCAGCCTGACAGCCAGGTTGTTAAACTGTAACAACACACCAGGAGGCCGGGATAGGGTTGGGGGTTGGAGTTTTGACTTAGGTCTCTCTGGACAGGGATCAAAGCTCAGACAAAGAAAGCATCTAAGAAGAGGGCTGAGGTGGCCTGGCGTGGGTAAGAGCAGAGTGGGTAAGGACATCTGGAGGTGAAGGCTGTAAGCAACATAGGTGGTAGGGCCTCTAAATACATAGTCCTCAGGAAGGAGGCAGGGTCCTGGGAGAAAGGACAGGCTCTAGGGCTGGGGCCAGAGGGGGAAGGAATCCTGGAGAGTGATGAGGTGAGACAGGACCCGGAGCCAGGCAAACGGGGAAGACAAATGGGTATTACATGAGCAATAAATGACAGAGTAAAGGGTGTATTAAAGGAAGTCATCCCTCCAAAGTGGAGGTCATAGCGGGTTTCAAGAAATCTGCTGCTGTGGTGTTCCAGAAAAGAGCTAACCCCCACTATGCACCCTGGAGCTCAGAGGTCACAGAAACAGGCAACTTGACTAATCGTTCATCCTGCAGCGCGAAGGTCAGAAGGTCGCAAAAACAGGCAATTTAACTGATCTCCTACCTCACAGTTTCGAAAAACAGTTTATCAGGAAAAAAACAACACCACAGTTTCTGGGAGGGGAAAAGCCAGACCCTCCCCACTCCCTACTCTCTACAACATCTGATTCTCAGATGCTGACCAATGCTCCATCACCACCCAGCCCCTCTGCACTGTGAGTGAGCGAAGCCAGGCCCAAAGCCATCAGTGGCATCTGGAAATAGATGCTATGGCCTGGTGGCCTCAGTAGATTGGCCAAGAGCCTCTGATGAATCACATCTAAAAATCCCTGGCCACAAGGTAAGGGAGCCTGGAGCTACCCCACACCCACTGAAGAGGCAGCTGCCCTCACTAGAAGCCTTGAACAGGACACGCTGCGCTCCTGGAATCAGATTGTATAAAGAGTAAACACATAACAGGTGTGGCCTGACTTGAGGGTGATACCCAAGAGGGAAGCAGACTCTAAGGCCTAGCAGAGGCAGCGTGAAGGCTCTCCCAGCACAAATCAGGGACAGAGGTCTCATTACCACCCCTCCCCATAGCTCAGTGTTGGATGGTTTTGGTGCCTAAAGCGCAGAAAATCCTGTCCCTGCCCCCACCACCTCCTTTCCCTGGAGTGTGGGAAAGTCTGTATCAATTTGCTTTGTTTGGGTCTTATTCTTGAAACATGGTCAAATATAGCCAAGCCTGGTCTCAAACTCATGTAGCCTAGGTTGACTTTTAACTCTGGTCCTCCTGTCTCCATCCTGTCTCCATCTCTCGAGGGATTACACGCATGCCCCACCATATCTGGCTTAGAATGGGAAAGAAAACACTAGAGTTCAGCTTCCCCCAGTTGGAAGACCATGACCCTTATCTTCCATCCACCTCAATCTAGCTCCTGCTGACCCAGGTTAAAGGAGAAGGAACAGAGAGTCAACAAGGACTTTGTCCCTGCTCATGGACAGCTGTGTTCTCTCTTGCCCTTTGGTGGGAGTGCAAATGTCCGTTCACATTGGACATAGGTGGCCTCCAACCTCTATCTGCAGATGTCGCCATTCCCAAAAGACTGGCCTGCTAGGCATGGTGTCACATTCCTTTAATCCCAGCATTTGGGACATAGACGCTTGGTCTTCATAGAGAGTTCCAGGTCAGGCAGGGCTATACAGTGAGAAGCTGTCTCAAAAAACAAACATAAATTACAGCCTTTTGTCCAGATGCTAAGCTCCAAGCTACATTATACACTTTTGCCTCCAGAAACAGGCCAGAAGCACTCAGATTCTGTAGCCTTCTCCCAGATGGACTCTCTCCATCACTAAAATAAAATCCTTCCATCTGTCTTTACCCACAGCATAGCCCATGATTGTAGGGAAAAGGGTCCAGCCAAAGAAACACACTTTGGTCCTGCAACCAGAATCAAGGAAATGTACCCTGACCCTGAAACCAGTGCCAAAGGAACCCACTTTGTCCCTGGAATCAGAGCTGGTGAAAGAAATACACCCTGGCCCTAAAACTAGAGCTAAAAGGCTAAAAAAGGACCAGAGGAAGAAACACACTTTGGGCCTGGAATCAGAGCCAAATCCGACCCTAACCCTGTGCAGAAAACTAACCAATCCCTGAGCAGGAGATCTAGCCATCCTAAGCTCAGGGACTGAAATCTGACCAATCCTTACCCTGGAAAACTCCACCCCCTAAGAAGCCCTATATAAACCCTGTGTCTGTTCAGCTTGTGGCAGTTTGTGCTACCAGGCTGTCCTCTGCCACTCCTGGATTCTTCCCTCCCAATAAATCTCTTGAATGAGGTTTGGGTGAGACTTTCTTTCTCTGGAGCAGAGACATGCCTGGGCAGAGCGGAGTAGAGGAAACCTTCCCCTGGCTAAGCAGAGTTGTTACACTCTGCTCTCCTGGGGACTGGAGCTGAACTGTAACAACTTTGTCAGGGAAACCCTCTTCTGCCAGAGCAGAGTTGATACAAGGGAAACCTTTCTCTGAAGCAAGGCTGTAAGCTGCTATGCTTAGTGTGACCTGTGGTAGTCCTTGGCTCCTGAGTGCCAGAATACTGTTCTATCTGAGCTGTAACACTCAGTATTCTTTGGCTCCTGGGTGCCATAATCCACCCCGGCCTATCACATATGATCCATCGAAATGCTTACAATGACCCCTCTGCCATTCAGTCCCTGTGTGCAGTCTGCCCCGTGTCCCCTCAAGGTGCTTTGTACGCACTTCCGGTCAAACTCCTTGTAGGCGTTCTGGAGCCAGCCCAGCGATGGTTTGTTCTGGCTGCTGAGGCCATAGTGGAAGTAGACGATGGTATAGTCATTCTCCACATGCTGGTCCAGCGTATACTTCAGATACCTGAAGGGCACAAGACACAGGGTTCCCTCAGAACAGTCACTTGCTCTGCACTTGAGTTACTGGCGTCCGTGGCACAGGTGCCATGCTCAGGTCATAGCCAGAACCATGTCCTTGTTCCTTAGGTGACACCTTAGGTTCAGAGACGTTATCTCACTGACCCAAGGTCATACAGCAAAGAAAGGTGACACCTCCCCAAAGAAATCCACAGGAAAGCCTCAGAAACTGAGTACCCCACATTTGGAAGAAAGGTGCTTGTGGGCCGGGCGTTGGTGGTGCACGCCTTTAATCCCAGCACTCGGGAGGCAGAGGCAGGCAGATCTCTGTGAGTTCAAGGCCAGCCTGGTTTACAGAGCAAGTTCCAGGACAGCCTCCAAAACAATACAGAGAAACCCCATCTCAAAAAACCAAAAAAAAAAAAAAAAAGTGCTTGTGGATGAATCTGGGGTCTTAAGAGATGGGCAGATGCTGGATCTCCCAGAATGCCTTCCAGGCCCCTTCTTGGGTCCATAGGGAAGACCCTTAGAGGGACAAAGCTGCATGAAGATGGAGGCAGAGTGGATGAAATGCAGCCCTGGCAAGAGGTTCAAGGATTTGCCTAGTATTTGGGAGCTAAAGGACACTAACTGCCTGCTGTCCCCTGGGAGCACTAAGGGAGCACGGCTGACACACATACCTCAGCTCTGGATAGAATATAGTCCTGCTGTTTTATGTCTCTAAATTCACGATCATTTGTTCAGGTAGTCACAGCAAACTGTTCAAGGAGGAGCTGAGATTCGAACTCAGGGCTGTGTGACTTCCAGACTTGCCCCAGCACTATGGTCCTATCCAGCTCAAATGTTTTGCTGATCTGCTGTTACCAGAAACACACTTAGACAGCTTGCATCATCAGTCTCTATGAACCTAGGACAGGGGACCATTCCCCATCCTCAGAGGTAAGTGCCCACAGCTCAGCTGGCTAAGGGGGAATCAAGCCAGCGTCCACCATTCTACTGATGCTGGGGAAGCCATGGTAGTCCTGGTGGTGGGAGCCTCCCCAAACAGCTCTGGAGTGGATTCAGAAGACCCCGATTTTAATGTGTCTCCAAATCCACACAGGCAACCCTGGGAAGCATTTGCTGTGATGACTAATTAGCTTAAAACAACACCCTGAATCGCCTTACAGCTCAAGTCTAGGTGTGGGGCTGGTATTCTTTGCTTTTCAATGGTTTCTTGCTTATATAACCCTGGGGATACCCTGGGCTCACCAAGGTGGTCCAGAGAGCCCCCATCTCAAGTCTCTCCTAATCACATCTGCAAAGTCCTCCTCAGAAGCCGGGTGCAGCCACCAGTTCTGGGGGTTAGGATGTGACGTGTACTGGGCACACTTTGCCTCCCACAGATGCCATGAGAGCAGCGGATGGGTCTTACCCCAGAGTCCACATGCGGACATGGGGCAGGTGCAGGGTAGTACTTACTCCAGCAGACGCTGGTGGTTGAGCTGGTGGGAGGGTGGCAAGCGGCAGCAGCTGAACGTGAAGATGCGTCTCCCCTGGCGGTCATCCCCTGGAGGAGCAGACAAAGGTGTAAGCTAGCAGCTAGGATGCTTAGGGCTGGGGCTCTGCCAGCTGACACCCGAGGGAGGTATGTGATGTGCACATTTCCTGAGAAAACCTTCCGACCGCCCATCACTCCATTTAACAGATGGAGCAATGGGCTGCCAGGTTACGTCACCAGGGCTGGGTCCCACCAGCTGACAGCTCGTGGGTTTAACTTCAGCCTCATTTGACTTTGAGTGCAGGATCTGGCTGCCTCCTTCTCACAAAAGTGTCCCTCGGTGTTTTCCTAGGACTCTGAGTCTTGGAGAAGGCCAGAGAGGTCAGAGGCCAGTTGTCCCTCAACAGGACAGGACCGTACATCACTCCAGAAGCCCCATGCTTGCTTTTTCTTGCATTGTGGAGGTCAAGTCACCCTGTGCTGTGACCAGCTCTTGGTACACAAGACTGCCATGAGGCTTTAGGGACAAACACTGGCAACAGATACTGGATATGGAGCTCTGGACTCCTTCCAGCCAGGACAGGGGGCGGTCTTCATCTTCAGAGAGATAGTACGCACAGCTCAATTGGCTAGGAAGGAAGCAAGCTGGTCCAATCATATGAATGGTCCTAGTGGCAGTCATGGCAGCCTTGGTGACAGGAGCCTTTTCAGATGACTCTCAAGTGGACTTGAAGGCCACCCCTGAGGCCAGGCTCAGGGGAGGCATATGGTGATCACACAGCCTCTTTCCAGAGGACAGGTAGCTGCTGAGGTCCTAAATGCTGCATACGTTACTCCCCAGGCCACGGCTGGACCTTCCTTCTATCTACATGGAACCCCAGGCTCCCATTAGAAGACAGGATCAGGACTAGCACCGCGTTATAACGAGGAACAGCAGCCTGGAGTCGCAGCTCCTTCCTACTGGGTCCTCGGGGCTTTGTTTCACAGTTCTGCCTTGCAGACTGGAAGAAAATGATGGGCAATGCCAGCTCTGGCCATCAAACTTCATTACAGGTAAACACTGGGCACAGGTGAGTGCAGCTGGGACAAGTGCTGAGGACCTGAACACTGCAAAGACAGCAGCTCTCCAGGGCTCAAAGTCAATCAAGGAGACCTGGCTGCAGGGGCCTTCCTTCATATCTCTTTCTCGCTGCCTCCCGTGTGTGTGTGTGTGTGTGTGTGTGTGTGTGTGTGTGTGTGTGTGTGTGTGTGTGTGCTCGCATGCCCACAGTACAGCCCATGTGTAGAGATCAGAGGACAACATGTCACAGTTGGTTCTTTCGTTTCGCTAACGTGGGACCCAGGATCAAATGCAGCCTTGATGGTAGGCACCTTGACCCACTGAGCCATCTCAGGAATTCCCCGCCCCTCCTCTTGAAATGATGCCTGAATATGTATGTAGCCCAGGCTGGCATGAAATGGAAGATCCTGCCGGGCGTTGGTGGCGCACGCCTTCAATCCCAGCACTCGGGAGGCAGAGGCAGGCGAATCTCTGTGAGTTCGAGACCAGCCTGGACTACCAAGCGAGTTCCAGGACAGCCTCCAAAGCCACAGAGAAACCCTGTCTCGAAAAACCAAAAAAAAAAAAAAAAAAAAAAAAAAAAGGAAGATCCTCCTGAGTCAGGATAAAAAGAAAAAATAAAGGGGACAGAGGAAGGGACAGACGCCTCAGCCTGGACTCCTGGTTGTCCGTCTCTCTGACTTTTGGCTCAACACAGCCAAAAGAGCTGACTGTGCAAAGATGTGTTTTCTAAAGACTTAAACACAGACGTGAAAGGCAACCAACGTGCTACGCTTCCTTAGGAAGGAAATGTTTGTGGCCTTAAGTTCAGCATATTCAGCACTCCTCCCTCACCCCTAAATTTAAGCTATGCCACCCATAAATCCACCTAACAATGGCATTCACAAAAAGAATGGAAAGAAATAACTCAACCAGCTTATTTTCTTTTTAAAAAAACTAAATTAGTTTATTTTATGTGCATGGATGTTTGTCTGCGTGCATGTCTGTGTGTCATAAGCATGCAGTGCCGCAGAGGCCAGAAGAGGGCATCAGATCCCCTGGAATTGAAGTTACAAGCGGCTGTGAGCTGGTGTGTGTGTGTGTGTGTGTGTGTGTGTGTGTGTGTGTGTGTGTGTGTGTGTGTGTGCTAGGAATAAAACTCTCAACCTCTGCAGGAGCAGACAGTGCCCTTAACCACAGAGTGAGTCATCTTTCCAGGTCATAAAAATTTGAATTTTAAAACTTCCCATATCTTTGTGTGTGTTGTAGAGTGTGTACATATCCCTATGTGCACAGACAGAGGCTGACAGCAGACGCTGGGCATCTTCCTCAGTCTCCATCTTATTTCTTGAGACAGGTGTGTCACTAAGCCTGGAGCTCATTGATTCCACATTAGCTAGTCAGGGAGCCCTAGGGAATCCTTGTCTGCACCTCCCCAGTGATGGGATTACAGGAGTGTGTCTTTCTGCCCAGCTTTTTACAGGGACTCTGGGGGACTGAACTCGGGCATTCCTGCTTGTGTGGCAAGCACTTTCCCATCTGAGTCCTCATCTCCCCAACTCCTGTAACTTTCCCCAATATTTCAACCTCCTTGGACATCATTTGAACAATGCAGCTTCCAAAGCCACAGAATCATAAACACATTCTGGAACTGGAGGTAGCTCAGCAGGTAGGAGCACTTTTTGCTTTTGCAGAGGACCCTGGCTTGGTTCCCAGCACACAAATCAGGTAGCTCAAAGCTGCCGCATTTCCAGTTCCAGGATCCCATGCCCTCTGACCTCCGTAGGCACCTGCATGCGCGTGGTACACATATATACAACCATTGTAAAGGCACATCAGTGCAACTCTCTGGAAACCAGCACCCACACTCAGGTGTGTGCTGCCCCCTGCCTGTGAGCCTTTTCCCTACATGCTAATAAACTTGCTGCCTTGAGGGCTGGAGAGATGACTCAACAGTTAAGAACACTCACTGACAGTTTGTCAAGGGGACCCAGGCTTGATTCCCAGCACCCACGTGGTGGCTCACAATCATCTATAACTCCAGTTCCAGAGGATTTAGCACCCTCTTCTGGCCTCCACAGGCACCAGGCAAGCCATGTGGTTCACAGACATACATGTAACAAAACACCTACACACATAAAACAAAGCAAACAAAAACTTGCTAACTTGATTAATTCTGAATTGTTCTTTTTTGTTGTTGTTGTTTGTTTGTTTTTGAGACAGGGTTTCTCTGTGTAACAGCCCTGGCTGTCCTGAACTCACTTTGTAGATCAGGCTAGCCTTGAACTCACAGAAATCCACCTGCCTCTGCCTCTTGAGTGCTGGGGTTAAAGGCATGTGCCACCAATGCCTGATCCAAATTGTTCTTAATTTTTTTTTTTGCATCCTGAAATTCCTTTCTACAGTATAGTCAAGGACCCAGCTTAGCCAAATGTAGTGGCCCATCTTTAATCCCAACACTTGGGAAGCAGAGGCAGGGAGATCTCTGAGTTGGAGACAAGCCTGGTCTACAGAATGAGTTCCAGGACAGCCAGAGCTACATAGAGTCACTGTCTGGAAAAAAAACCAAACCGACAAACAAGACCGGCTTTAGCATAGTGGAGGTTCCAAAGAGAAGTCTGGTGTCACTGCTGGGCTGCATCTCTCCAGAGCACTGACATGATGCCCCGAGTCTCCAGACACTAGAATTATAGACTAGGCCACCACGTCTGACTTTCGTCTAATAGAAGGCATCCTCCTGCCTCCCCTCCTGCCTCCCCCCAACTCCACACACTGTGCCCTGCACAGAAAGAGGACAGGCAGTGTATTGTGGAGTCGCAGTGTGTGGAGGGCTGCTGGCTGCCATGGGCATCCAGTTCCCTCGAGTATCAGCCACACACGGGGCAGGCTCGGTAGTGACACATGGCGAGAAGCAACCGTCCTGGATAGAGTGGACACGGCATTTCCATAACACTGCACTGGGCAGCGCCGCCCTTGGCGGACATCAGGGGGTAGACTTCATGGAAAGTAGTTATGGAGGCAGCTTTGGGTTGAATACTGTTCCCTTCCCCCCAAAACAACGCATGACTTCCTAGAGCCTCCAGATATGGCCTTGCTTGCAAATAGGGCCATCGAAGATCTAATTATGTTAAAGACAAAGATGGGGCCATCCTGGATTTAGGACAAAAGAGGCAGAAGACACTGGCTGAGGTGAGAACACAGCTGTGGACCAAGGGCGGTGGGGAGTACAGTGAGAGTCAAAGGTCAAGAGGTCAATGGAATGGGGGGCTTCCCCCAAATGCTGGGGAGATATGGTGAATTTTCCCAGAGCCTCCAGGAGTAACCAGCCTACCCACACCTTAGATTCTCACTTCTGAACCCTGGAACCAAAAGAACAATTGTCTGTTGTTTGAAGCTCCTTGAATTGGGACTCTCTGCTCCAGCAGCCCTAGTGTTGTTACCTGTCGCTTGGGCCCATAACCTTAGTTTCTCTGTACTCCCAGAGAGTCTTGGGAAACAGAACCTGGTGGAGGGAAATGGGTTCAGTTATAGTCTGCACAAACCGCAGGGAGAAGTAATACAATTTATTGTGTCTGCGGACATCTTCCAATGTATAGGAATCCACGGAATAGAGACCAGAGCTATGCAGACGGAGTTGTGGCGTGGCTTAGCCTGTCCCCTCCTGGGGGAAGCCACTGCACCTCAGGCTGTCTTGATCTCAGATTGAAGGGCACATGTGTCTCTATTTGGAATGTGTCTCCTACCCTAGATCCTCTCCCATTTATAGCAAGGGACCAGGGCACATGACATAGTCTCCTTGCTGCGCCAGACCTTGGTATCAGTCTGCCAGTGTCACACACAAAGCCTGGGTCCCGCAGAACAGCCACCACCCGTGACTTGTATGGGAGATCCTCTGCCCTTTCTCCTCCCCAGCAACCCCCATGCCACCACCTACGGTATCCAGGTCCCTCAGCGCCATCCTTTCTCTTGTTTGTGACCTCTTCTTTCTCCTCCCTTTGCCTGGTCCCATCCCAGAGGCCTCTGGGGACCCAGCAGGCCGGACGTCCACGGCCCTCACTCATCCCTGAGAAGTCCGAGGAGACCCCTCCAGCCCCCTTGAGGGCTCCTGACCATCCCCTTTCCTACAGGTCCAATAGTAACTGACTGCTTGCCTGAAGGACAGGGCCTGGGAGGCAGCAAAGCTCCCCTTCTAGAAAGGGACCCATCTTGAACTCACTTGTGGTGTAAAGAAGTGTTTACAGTCATTCTCAGGGTTCCCTCCCCCGCTCCCCCAAATGTGGGGCAGGGGCAGAAGAATGCACGCCAGTAGAGAGAATGAACCAGAATGAGCCAGTATCACGTGTGCACTAACTGCGTGGGCCTGGATGGGCTCCTGCCTCCCGCCACTGCGGCTAGAAAGCTGTTTGTTATGTATAACCGTCCTTCCTCTGGGAGGCTCCAGAGCCTGGGATGTTTAAGATTCTAGAACCATCTGTTTGCAAATACAGCATCCATTCATCTCCCTGTCCTTACGAACTTCGGTCAGGCCTCTGTTTGTTTAGAGCTCTGTGCTCTAACCCCCCCCAGCCCCCTCCCTTGTCCAGCAGGGTTCTGGGGGCCATCAACATCTCAGCTGAAGTTCTGAGTCACAGTATGGCTGCTCAAAAAAGACACAGTGACTAAATGCAGAGAGAGAGAGAGAGACAGTTAAGCTGGCCCAGCAAGGTCAGAAACCCAGGAGGAGCCTGAGTCAGACCAGACTCAGCAACCACAGCATCAGCCTGCAGGTCTCTGGCACATACAAAGTCTGGGTCCCGCAGGACAGCAGCCGACGGTGGCTCCCACCGTCCCCTGCTTCTTTGGCTTGTGGCCTCTTCCTCCTTCTCCCTTTGCCTGATCCAAACATCAGTTAGCCCATGCTCACTGAGGGTTGCAACATCTCAGTGCAGGAGAAGCCAGGAGATTCTGCTCCTGCAGGCAGGGGATAGGCGTCTCTGCCCAACCCCAGCAGCCACAGACGGCTGTCCTCTGCTGCTCCAAACAGGGGTTTCCACACTCCTCAGAAGCCAGAAGAAGCCCCAGAACACACACACTCTCCTCCTCTCCCTCGCCTGACTCCCTCTGCCTCTTAAGCCGCGTACAGCCTTATGAGCCAGTCAGTGTCGCATCTGCATCCGCAACATCTGGCACCATAGGGAATGTTCCTTCCAACAATACAAACTGGCAACCACCCGGGCTTCAAAACAATATTAGTAGAAGATGAACACTCTACGCAAGTGCAGATCCCACAGGCCCGAGACTAATCCCTCCCAGTTTCCTCCCCTGTCTACAACACGGCATCACTAGCTGCCTCCCTTTCTCCATGGAAGAGAAGCCCCACTAGGTGCCCAGAGCTGTACCCATGGCGGGCACAACATGTCCATCATCTTGTCCAATGAAACAAGGCAGAGGGTCTGAGTGGTCCACTTACAGGGATGTGGGAGGTGGTCCCTTTGGGGCGTTGCTAAGGGTTCCCTCAAAACTGGAAGGAGATGGGGACACTTGTTAAGAGTGTGTCTGTCCTGTAGGAAAGCTCAGCAGGCTGGTGTGCAGGGCGGAATGATCTAGATGAAAGGACACTTTTGCTCCAGAAAGGCATACCTTTCTTTTTCTTCCAGGCTGCTTGCTCCCGGCTGCAGCTCCAGGAGCCCGCCTCCTGCCTCCTGTCTCTGGAATTTAGGTTCAGGGCCTTCCATCTCCCATTCTGTTCCTCACCACACAATCTCTACTGAGCCCAGTCTCCTAGGCCACCGCCTGAGACCCCAAAGCATCACTCGTTCCGTTTGTCAGTGTGGCTTCTACGGTGCCGTGACTGACCAAAAGCACCCACTTAGGTGGCATGTCATTCTTTTCCTGCCTTTAACAGGTCTCCAGACTTGACTGTACTAACCCTTAGCAAGGCCAATTCTGGCTACACCTGGAGGATATAACCAACTCTAAGAAGGAATGCTGGAGGGAAGGTGGTCCCTGGCCCAGAACTGCCCGTCAGCCCACTGAAAACTCGGGAGCAAAAGTTATCGACAGGAGGCAGTGTTGAATGCTGTATGAGGCCCGAGGAGGGAAAGAGATGACCTCCTTTGTGGCAAGAATGAGCCCAGGGGGAGATTGCCAAATGTGTGCTACACTAAATGCTCGCTAGAAACAGCCATAGTAGACTGAGGGAGCCTCGACAGCCCACCATCCTGCAAGACGTAGAAGACTGGCTGTACTGCCCAATCTGGGGACCAGCTAGATGGTTCACTTACCTGCCACCTGCAGGATGCTGTGTCTGGCCACGTCATAGAATGGGTGACTGGTGCTCAGTGTCGGGTCCTGGCCAGCCATGGAGACCACTGAGGGCCCTCCTGTGGCCCCCAGTGTGACTGCTGCTTCTTTGTCTCTCTGTAGCTCTGCCGGGACACAGGAATTAAAGGGAGTCAGGAGGCAAGCTACATCAGGGGGACCTATGACTAACCACCGGCAAATCGCTACTAAATGCTATTGATACACCATCAATAGTTAGCCTCCGTTGTGACCATCCTTTCCTAGGTGTGTTTTTGTTATAAACTGAGATGTTGAGAGCCAGAGGGAAGTTGGTTCCTTAGTCAAAAGCTTCTAGACCCTTCCCTGTGCCCTTGCTGTTTTGAGTGAAGATTATCCTCCAAACATAATAACTGCTCTGAACGCTATGCAGGGCCTTGAGGAAGCTGCTTGCTGTGGAAGCTGTTCTGTCTCCTAAAGCTCCATCAGTCACACCCACTTCAGCACCCTGTCATCAGCCTCAGTGAACTCTGCATGACCCTGCCGCCATTTCTACCCAGACCTGAGGGAGAGAACTTCCCCTGGCAACCCAGCAGAAGGCTTGTGACTGGCAGAGTCCCTCATTTGAATGAAGGCTGGCCACAGTTGTCAAAGCCGCCCTAGCCAGGTGTTCTATCCTATCTGTGTGAGTAGGCCATGTGAATGAATCCTTTTGTGAGTCTGGGGGAGGCAGTTTCCTGTGTTGCCCCCTGGGCCCATTAAAGGCTTCTCTCTGGTGTTCATCTCTTGTTTAATTTTCATTTGTCCCCTCATTTTTACTAGTTCCTTCATATTATGTGTTTTGAGCACATTTCCCCCCCCCGATCCACCTCTGCCTCCCTACCCACCCAACTTGTGTTTTCTATTTCTATCTCTAAACCCATGAGAGTCACATTTGTGCTGTCCATATATTCTTGGATTTGTGGCCTTTCACTGGAGTATGGTTCATTTATGAGGGGCTACATTCTCTCTTTTTTTAAGATTTATTTATTATGCACAGTGTTCGTCCTGCACGTATGCCTGCAGGCCAGAAGAGGGCACCAGATCTCATTACGGATGGTTGTGAGCCACCATGTGGTTGCTGGGAATTGAACTCAGGACCTCTGGAAGAGCAGCTGGTGCTCTTAACCTCTGAGCCACCTCTCTAGCTCCAGAGACTACATTCTTAAAAACAAAAACAAAAACTCCTGACTCTCCCTCTCCTAGCAACTACCAATTGCCATCAGCTCCCCTCCCCTCTCCACACGGGGGTCTTGTCTGACTTGAGCTATAGGTAGAGTGGGCTGAGCAGGTAACAGGAAGAAAGGGAGGTGGTGACAACAGCAAGAAGAGGGTATCTGGAGCTGTCCGTGGTTGCTGGTGCCTTTAGTAATCGGGAGGCAGAGGCAGACAGACAAATCCCCGTGAGTTCAAGGCCAACCTGATCTACATAGCAAGTTCCAGGCTGGCCAGTGCTATGTAGCGAGATGCTCTCTCAAAACTACACAACAGCAACAGAAAACCAAACAAACAGACAAATGCACAGATGAAGATTTCCTGAGACTGCCTAGGGCAGAAGAAACAAAGAACCAACGTGATGGAGACAAGAGCTGTGCAGGTCTGAAGAAGTCGAGGGCCCGATTGCCGGAAGAGTTCCAGGGAGTTGTTAAAAGGCTGGGTTTCAGACATCCAGGCCTGAAAGCTGCCATGCCAACCACGGTGGAATCCTGGCACCCAGGCTTAAGAGTTGTCACACTAGTAAGGGTCACCTGCTGCTGCTGCTGTCTTCGGTCACCATTGGCTGTTGCCAGAAGCCAAGTTTTACAACAGCTGCCAAGTGCTGGGGCCCCTTGAGGGCTGACCACCAGGGAGAAGGGAACTGAATGTCACTCAAACATGCAGAAACAGAGCTTGTGAAGAGCATGTGGGGTTAGGGTGGCTGACTCTGCCACTCCCTCCCCTACAGTGCTCAGCAGGAAGATGCCCACAGACAGGTGGGAGGCCTACAATCCAGGCCCGCAGTAAAAGGGCTCCTGGCCAGCAGCCAAAGTGAACAACTGTCATGTCAGTGCCCAGCATCCCTGGGTTCCAGTCACATACACACACACACACACACACACACACACACACACACACAGAGGCAAAACACTCATATTTATAAAATAAAGATAAGTCAGTCTTTTTTTTTAATCTTTATTTTGTATTTCTTTTGTTTGTTTGTTTGTGGTTGTTTTGTTTTGAGACAGGCTTTCTCTGTGTATCCCTGATTGTCCTGGAACTTGCTCTGTAGACCAGGCTGACCTCAAACTCACAGAGATCCTCCTACCTCTGCTTCCTGAGTGCTGGTATTAAAGGTGCTCATCATCACCACCACCACCACCCAGTTATTTCTCGTCTTAACAAGTCCTAGACCACCCTTGTGTCACAAAGCTTCCGTTCTGTAAATCAGTTTAAAAACTCTGGTTAACACTAGAATAATTAGTAAAAACCAAGTTTTGAGGGCAGCACAAGATAGTATTCCAGTCTACACCAAAGAACTTCAGGTCTGAGGATACGGCTTGGTGTACATGCATGAGAACCTGAGCTCAGATCCTCTAGAACCTAAGCAAAACAGCAAAACACAGCAGCATATACCTACAATCCCAACACTGCGGAGATGGTACAGGAGGGGCTCTGGGGCTCTCTGGCTGGCCAGGCTAGAGGAATCAGTAAGATCCAGTTCAGTGGGAGACCCCATCTCAGAAAATAAGGTGGAAAGCTACTGAGAAGGACCCTGGACATTGACATCTGACTCCACAGATACACAGACAGAGACATACACAGTGGGCAGGGGACAAGGGAGGGAGAGAAACAAACTTTTTTTTGTTTTTTGTTTTTTGTTTTTTGTTTTTGTTTTTTGAGACAGGGTTTCTCTGTAGCTTTGGAGGCTGTCCTGGAACTCACTTTGTAGACCAGGCTGGCCTCGAACTCACAGAGATCCGCCTGCCTCTGCCTCCTGAGTGCTGGGATTAAAGGCGTGCGCCACCAACGCCCGGCGAGAAACAAACTTTGATCCCTTGACTACTACACAGCAGAGTTGACAAAGTATATGTCTTCAAGTACAGATGGGAATCTAAAACCGTAAGCAGGAGACATCACTACAGATACCACAGCAGCTCTATGTGCCAATAAGCAGGGAGGATAGACCTCTCTAAGCTAGGGTATGAAAGCTGTCAGAACTCAGGATACTGCCTAGTAAGTGTGAGGCCAGCCTGTCTCAAAACAAAAGCACACCCCTCCCCCAGTCTCCAGGCTACAGAAATGTTTAAGAATTGTTGCCCAGAGCTGGGAGCAGTGACTGAGGGGAAGCACCCTTCTCAACCGCAGTGCCCTGGGGAGAACTAATCTCTATTTATCAGAGTTCCGTGCTGCTTCAGTGCAGACACCAGGCCAAGTTCATGCACAGGTCAGTGCCCAGGACAGGGAGCCCAGACTCTTAGCTTTGTGCTTCTGCAAGCTCTCCTCCAGGTGAGGTGTCAGAGAGTGCATTCTCCCTGCTGAAGCCCCCTGTAGGGGTGTTGTTAAATGGTCACCTGTAGCAGGAGCCTAGGTCGGTCATCAGGAGAGATTGCTGTAGCTTCTCTTGTGTCAACAGTGACATTTCTAGATTCCTATTCCAGTTGCCACACACCCTTCCCCCTCCCCATGCTGTTCCCCTTCCCACCCTGAAGCCCTCAGCCACCTGTGCCCCCGGTCAGGACTCCGCCACCATGCTGGCCTGGAGCTTTGCTCCACCTGGGTGGTCAGACAGGCAGGGCAGTCACTAACTATTGCCAAGTTCCTGGGGTTGCCAAGGCAATGCTGGCAGGAGATCCTGAAAGAAAGGCATCCGGAATGGGGGAGGAACAGAGAGGGCAAAGGTCCCAGGAGAGAAGCAAGGGTATGATGCCCAGAGGAGACAAGCAGAGAGCGGTCTCATGTGTCCCATGCATCCCCTCCACACACCTGCAACACACCCAGAAACACATGAATCTTAGAGCCCTGTAATGCTGGGCCACCTACCTCCCCATCCTTTCCGGTGACATTCCCTCCTACACTAGTGTGGACAGCTGAGACACCTCAACCCTCCCATACTTCACACAACAGGCTTGACCTGTGGCCTCCCCAAGCCTGCGTGGCTTTTTCCAGTCACCTAACTCTAGATGCTGCAGCTCTGAGCTGGGGAGCCACTGGCCCAGGCCTCAGATGCACATTCAGGATCGGGTTTTCTTCCTGGCAGGGTGCAGGACACCCATGCCAGGCCCCATCAGCCCACCTTCTCTCCACCACTCCTCAAATCCAAAATTATCCACACTGCAGAGAAGCTCACTAGGAACCTTGCTGGTGTGGGGTGACACCCAGGCTGGGACCCTGAGCCCACACCTTGCAAGGGAAACCTACTACAAAAGCCAGCAAAGGAAGTTGGCCCTCAGAGCCCATAGCCTAGGATACGTGTAGCCTGAAGCAGCTGGCCAGGAACCAGTAATGGCTGAGAGGCCAGTCCTCACACCATCCACAGGGCCAAGCAGCAACACAGGACCCACAGCCATGGCCTCTGCAGCAATGATGGCTCCATTTTCCGCTGTCCTCTGCTTTAGCCAACCAACATGTGGGGCCTTTTGCCTCTACAAGCTCAAACCCTTTATCCTCTGGCACTGCCCAGATGCTCTGTTCTGAAGCCTGCATAGTCAGACCTGCTGCACCATCCGCAGGAAGGGGCTTGTGCCCGCCTCCTGTTGCAGCCATCTGGTGGGAATGAAAGCAAGGCTCTCCCAGCACCCTCCACTGCTCTCAGCCTCCCCTGACTCCTGGGAACCCACCTCACAGAGGAGAGATGCTGAAGAGACCCAAGAAGGAAGCTGGACCATACTGCCTCTGAGAGGCCCAGGGACTTCTCGGGATCCCCGTGTCCTGTCCCTATCAGGAACTGATGGGAGATGTCATTCTGCAAATCTGTCTTTCTTATTGGTTGTTGAATAAAGCACTGTTGGCTAATAGGGAAGCAAGATAGGTGGGACTGGGAGTCAAGGAGGATTCTGGGAAAGACAGGCAGAGAGAGACGCCATGTAGGCTCCAGAGGAGTAAGAGGTCCAGACCCTTTCTCTTGTAAGAGAAATACTTAGATTAACAATCATGGGTTAAGAGCCGGGCATTGGTGGCGCACGCCTTTAATCCCAGCACTCGGGAGGCAGAGGCAGGTGGATCTCTGTGAGTTCGAGGCCAGCCTGGTCTACAAAGTGAGTTCCAGGACAGCCTCCAAAGCCACAGAGAAACCCTGTCTCGAAAAAACAAAAAAACAAAAACAAAACAAAACAATTATGGGTTAAATACTTAAGTCAGAGCTAGCCAGTAAGAAACAAGCAAGCAGCCAACAGCTTTATAATTAGTGTCCTGTGAGTTATTTGGGGGTTCAGACAATGAGGAAGGGCCCAGGCGACTGGCAAGGAAAAAACTACACTCTACAGGTACCAAATGGCTATCCTGCCTTCTCCAGGTCCAGGAACCACTGGCAATGCTAATTGACAGAGGTCCCTAAGGAATGACTCTGCTCCAAGATGAGGCTATACACACAAGGCCGCGACAGGGTCCTTTTCATGCGTCAACTGGTTGGGCCACCAGGGCCCAGGTGTTTGTTCAAATACTAGTCTTTGCTGTGAAGATATTTACGGGTGATGGTTACATCTATGTTAGGTGGCTTTGGGGAAAGCACATGGCCCTCTTTAATGTATGAAGGTGCCATCTAATCAGTAAAGACCCTAAGAGTGGCCCAACCCTCCAGAATAAGCTCCTCAGGCCTAGGGACTACTTTGAGTTATTTCATTAACATAAACTCAGCTGTAGCTGAAAGAGCTCAATATGTATAACAAATGATGCTCATAGTGTGCGTATGTGTTTGTGTGTGTATACATGTTGGCATATGCTAGGCAATTGCTCTTTCACTGAGTCACACCACTCCCAGTCTCCATACTCTGCATTCATAGATAGATAGATAGATAGAGAGAGAGATCTGGCATATGGGGTGTATGTGTGTGGGGGGGGTTGCACAGCTGCATATACATACAAACACGGGAGTCAGAGGGAAACATCAGGTACCCTGTAAGTCTCTGCCTCATTCCCTAGAGACATGTTCTCTCACTGAACCCAAAGCTAGGTGGCAGACAGCAAGCCCCAGAGATCCTCTTGTCTCTGCCGGCCTCCCCAGGGCTGGGGATACAGGTGCATAGCCACACCCAGCATTCTGCAAGGGTTGGAGATCTGAACTCACTCTCCACTCCCACCAAGGTATATTTTAAAACTCCCGTCCCAGTCCTGCTGCAGGCTCAGTCTGGCCTCTATCCCTCCTCACTCGGGAGGGGAATTCTCCATTTCCCATAGGAATGTCATCTCTCATGGCACCGGCCCCCATGTCACAACAATCCCACTAGGGATAATCAGAGATTCATAACTCTCTGGCTTTCTGGGTCTCCCTAGGGGGAGTAAAGTTTCACAGGGGCTCAAGACAACCCCCACCCCATCATGCTCCATGCATGGCCAGCATAGTCAAGGCCCCTCATAAATGCCAGAGTGACAAGTCACACTGCAAACAGATCCATCTTGCTCAGTGCTTCTGAGCCTCAGTGTTGTCTCCCAGCCTGCCTGGTTCTGCCTGTGTCCACACACAGCACACCCCTGCCTGTGTCCACACACAGCACACCCCTGCCTGTGTCCACACACAGCACACCCCTGCCTGTGTCCACACACAGCACACCCCTGCCTGTGTCCACACACAGCACACCCCTGCCTGTGTCCACACACAGCACACCCCTGCCTGTGTCCACACACAGCACACCCCTGCCTGTGTCCACTGCCTGCACTTGCCCCCTTTGCAGCTCAGCGGACTCCAGGGGTCTCCCCCATGTGGGGACTTATTCCTGGGGGAGTCATGGGCATCTGTGAGACTGGGAGAGCTTTGGTCTATTGGCACCCAAGACCAGAACAGACGATCCAGCAACAGGCATGCTATGCAAAACAGATTCCAAACCACCCAAGGGGTCTATTTATAATTCACAGCAAAATGGTTTGTTGCTGTCAAAATGGGTTTGCATATTACACAAACAGACCCTCGCAGCAATTATCTTAGTGCTGTAGCTACAAATGAACACCTACTTACTCCGGGCAAATTAACACTGGATCTACCTTTAGCAGCACAGCCCGTGGGGGTGGGGAAACGCACAGTGGATGTTCACACCTCAGGCTCTCTCAGAATTTAGGGGAGGGGCTCCATGCCACCATTCCTAACCCTCTAAGGCTCAGAAGCATTCGCTGGTCACATCTGCCTCAGACACCATAGCCGGGAACATCCTTTTGTCCCAGCCATGCTTGTGACCACAGGCCCTCCCCCACTGCCCACGCTTTACACGGGGTTCCTGGTGTTGACACAGACCACTTACTTGTGTAGAGGGAGACATAGGGAGCCACCAGAATCTGGACACCAGATCAGGGTGAGACTGGGGGGGGGAGTATGGGGGATGACAGTGGTGAAGTCCTTGTGGCTAACTGGCAGGAGGCTGGGGTTCAAGGCCCCTCCTGTCTACCTCCATTTTCACAGTCTGGAGCCCCTCCTATGGCCATTTGGGCACAGCTGCTTACCTCTGTCACAGCTTCCACCACCCATGCTCAGTGCTGGCCTGGGGCCCCGGCCTTCTGCTCTTCCCAAAGGATGCCGAAGCCCAGGATTCCAGCCCTAGTCTCAGTCCCAAACATCTCTGTCTGTTTTTCTGTTGCTGTGATTTAAAAAAAAAATGCTCAGAGGAGGAAAGGGTTTATTTCATCTTACACCTTCAGGTGGTGGTCCATCACTGAGGGAAGTCAAGGCAGAACTGAAGCAGGAGCCAAGGAGGAGTGCTGCTCACTGACTTGCTCCCTGGCTCAAGTTCAGTTAGCTTGATTATATAGCCCAGGCCCACCTACCTATGGATGTTGGATGTGCTGCCCCATAGTAGGCTAAACCCTCCCACATGAATCATCAATCAAGACAGTGCTTCACAGACATGGCCAATCTGATCTGAGTGATCCCTCAGTTGAGGTTTCTCTTCCCGGGTGTGTTGAGTTAAGAATAAAATCCAGGAGCTGGAGAGATGGCTCAGGGGTTAAGAGCACCAGCTGCTGCCAGGCGTTGGTGGTGCACGCCCTTAAACCCAGCACTCAGGAGGCAGAGGCAGGATCTCTATGAGTTCCAGCCCAGCTTGGTCTATAGAGCGAGTTCTAGGACAGCCTCCAAAGCTACACAGAGAAATCCTGTTTCCTGTCTGAAAAACAAAAACAAAAACAAACCAAAAAGCACTGACTGCTCTTCCAGAGGTTCTGAGTCCAATTCCCAGCAACCACATGGTGGCTCACAGCCATCTTTAATAGGATGTGATGCCCTCTTCTGTGATAAAGTCATACATCCAGATAGAATATTCATAAATAAAATAAATAAATCTTTAAAAAGGAAAGACTAAAGACCAAGCAGAATACTCACTGAGCACCAGACTTAGCCATCCAATGCCTCCTGTTTCAACTCTCTTCCTGAAGTCCCCGTGCCCCACCCAAACATTTCCCTCTAGAAAGCAAGACTGACCACTTCTACCCCATGAGCCTCAGAGGAGTCACACACTGCACTGCGGCCGCCTCAGAGCCTTTGCACACACTGTCCTTGTGCCTAGAACACACAGCCCACAGAAGACACGTAATCAACTGTCATCGCTGCCTGAAGTCCGACTTGTCTACCTCCATCTTCCCAAGCTTCCTCACAGGAGTTAAGAGCCATCCGTAATTCCAGTTCCAGGAGCTGGCTCTGAGTCCCTCTTCTGGCCTCTGGGGCACTGCACACACATGGTGCACAGACATATATGTAGGCAAAAGCTCATACACATAAAAGAAAAATAAATCAATCTTTAATAGATAAACAAGGGCTGGAGAGATGGCCCTGTAGTTAGGAACACTTACTGCTCTTTTAGAGGACTGAAATTCAGCTCCCAGAGGAGTTCACAGCCATCTGTGACTCTAATTTCATAGGATCTAAAACCCCTCTGGCCTCCTTGGAAACCTGCATTCATGTGCACACAGCCATACAGACGCACGGGTACACAATATATGTACAATGAAAAAATAATAACCTTTGGTAGACTGGATAAATAGGGGGCTGGAGAGATGACTCCGCAGTTGGGAATTCCTGCTTTTCCAGAGGACCCGAGCTCCATTCACAGCACCCACATCAGGTGGCTCACTACTGCCTGGAACTCCAACGCTAGGGATCTGATGCCTACCAGATGTGCAAATCACACACACACACACACACACACACACACACACACACACAGAGTGAGAGAGAGAGAGAGAGAGAGAGAGAGAGAGAGAGAGAGAGAGAGAGAGAGAGAGAGAGAGAGAGAGAGGTGGCACAGCTACAAAGAGCTCAGGGAAACCTGGACGCTGACTCAGAGCCTGTCCTGGGACCACAGGATTTCAATCTACTGCAGATCACAACTCCAGCAAACCCCCAGCCCAGGCAGCCCATCCCTGCTGCATTGACAGTGTAGAATTTAATTTGAAGGCCAGTGGAGAAAAGGCAGCGGTGGCTCTTAGAAGTCTCCAGAATCCAGACCTGCCAAACCAGTTCCTTCTGAGAGTCCCTGTCTCCTGCCCCCTCCAACTGAAAGGTCATTTCTTACTCCCAAGTTGGAGCTGGCTGGCCTTCAGCAGGGAAGGGACAGCAGCACACAAACTCACTCAACACCTAGGCTTGCTCCCAAAGGCCACGGGTAGAAGAATGCCACAAACATGATCTCTCACAAAGCTGTGTGACTTGTTTGGGGCACTCTACATAACTCTGGAGTACGGAACTTCCTAGTGAGGAAAACAAGGAACGGAGTGCCTGGCAATTGACTTGAGGTCACACAGATTGTGCCCAGGGTGTGGGGACCCATTCCCCGGCTGTTAACCACTTCACAGCAGCCTCCAATGAACACACACACACACACACATTATCCTCCAAGCTTCAACTGCCTTAGGATGCCAGTGAAAGAGAAGATGGGTACCCAAAGCAGTGGCTTAGGGAGCCCCATTCACCCCACCCTACTTCAAGGAACCCAGACTGGCTAAGTTCCATATAGCACCCTTAGATCCAAGTCTGTCCCTACCCATAGGAACCACCCAAGAAGTTTCCGGATACCTGTGGGACCTCCTCTGAAAGCATCAAATTCAACCAAATAGCAGGGGAAGACAAGAGAAGGAAAACTTTCTATCCCCATGCTAACTCTGTGACACAGAATAGAAAGACATGGAAGACAAAGAAGGCATGAAAAAGAAAAGAGCCCTCTCCCATGGGTCTGGATGAAGCTTCTCCCTAGAGAGAAATAGAATTGTAGCACATTCAACACATGCTTAAAGTCTTTTTCCACCTGGGCAATGGTAGCTCACACCTTTAATCCCAGAACTGGAGAGGCAGAGACAGGCAGATCTCAGTGAGTTCGAGGCCAGCCTTGGTCTACAGAGTGAGCTCCAGGATAACCAGGGATGTTACACAGAGAAACCATGTCTTGAAAAACAAAAACAATAAACAAACAAAACAAGATCTTTCTCCATTCCCAGCTCTAAACCTGCAATTTTCTAGGACTTTCACCCAAAACTTCATTCACAGTAAAACACATCCCATACCCTTGTGAAGCCTTAGAGGTTCTTGATTTAACTTTATCAGAATATAACCCACCTTCAGAGCCACCCCATAATTTTACCTAGCAAGGGTGGGGGGAGCTTCTTAGCAACCTTCTGAGACATAGCCTGAAAGGCACTAAAATGACTTATATGGCTGATGCTAAGACACTCGTTGGCTCTCCCTTGAGAAGCCCATACACTTGAACATAGTTTACTCTTTTCTTGAGTGCCACTTTTCATTTTAACCGCAGTACTTAAAATGTATGTGAAAATATATTGTAGTGGACAGTCGTGGTGGCATGGTATACACCTTTAATTCCAGCACTCAGGAGGCAAAGACAGCAGGATCTCTGAATTCGAGGTCAGCCTGGGATACACAGAGAGACCTTGTCTCAAAGCAACAACGAAAGTCTTTTAGGGGCTCAGCAGTTAAGAGCATGCACTGCTCTTGCAAAGGACTCGAGTTCAGTTCCTGGCACCTACATCAGGTAGCTCACAATCGCTAGGTAGCTCCAGGGGATCTGGCACCCTCTGTGGTTTCCACGGAACCTGCCCTCCTGTACACATACCCACTCCCTCCTCTCACACACAAATACACAATTTAAAATAAAACCTTTTTTATCAGAAGAGGGTGTCCGATCCACTTTGTGAGCCACTACATGGGTGCTGGCCCATCTCCCCAGTCCTTAAAAACCCATTTAATAAACCACAACTCTTCATTGTGAAGCCTCCCCTTGTGTGTGTCTATTTTCTTGAGCATCTTCCTTTCTAATTTTAACTAAACTTCAACTCTGTTTCACACTGCCTAGTCCTGAAGTTCCCCTTTAAGTGGAAGCCACGGGTCCTGGATGAGGTCCCTTGAAAGACTACAGGAACTTCCTCAGGCCGCTGAGGGCCAAGGTATGGAGGTGCACATCTCACTGTAGACAACCCTAAGGAATCCGTTGTCAGAGGGCTTCCAAAGTCTCCAAACTACATAAGCCTGCTCCCACAGAGGCAGATTCCAAGCCTGGCTTTCCATTTACCAGCCCTAACTCCTGTCACTCCCCTGCCTCAGTTTCCCCCTCTGTAGAAGTGGGCAGTGCCACTACCATTTCAGGAGGCTGGTTTGAGTGAGGAATGAGGCCATGGGCATGCAGGGGTGACTTGACCTCTGCTAGGGAGCTTTACAGATGGGAAGGCTACTCCCCACAGCAACGTGGCCCCCTCAGAATCCACTAATGAGGCCAGGTGCACTAGTTCATTTTTGTAATGTCAGCACTTGGAAGGTTGAGGCAGAAGAATTACCTTTAGTTTAAAGCCAGCCTGGGCTAAATGGTGAGACCTGTCTCCAAACAAAATAAAATAATCAAGTTCTCCCAAATCCTCTTGAAGGTTTATCTGAGTCACGTGATCATTTCACCCATCCGTGAAATGAGGGTGATTTAGTGGTTGGGATGGGTTTCTAGTGTGGTCAGGCTTTTGTGTCTAGTGTGATAGCTTTTGACTATCCTGTTATACTTTAGTTTATTATTAGAGACAGGGTCTCACTCACCCAGGCTGGCTTCAAACTCACTATGTAGTCAAGGGTGGCTTCCTCACTTTGTTAAGTGATGGGGTTACAGCCTCGGCCACCACACATCTGGTTTATGTGTCACAGGCAAACAAACAAGCCCAGGGCTTTGTGTACGTCAGGCAGGGGTTATCTTAACTTAGCTGCATCCCTAGCCCTGCCATCCTCTTTAACTGAAGTCACCTCTCTGTCCATTATTGACAGGGTACCCCGAACCTGCGCTCATAGACACCAGGCCTCTTAGGGTGATTATCCAGGGGAGCCCCCAACCTTACACAGCTCTCCGAAGTTGCCCTTTACTGTGAGCTGATCCAAGCACATAGCCTGGGAAAGCCCATTTAGACCTCTCCTGGACCTCCCAGCAACCTAAGGACCGCATCCCATCTGCCTGTCTCCCACCCATTTTCCAGTTCAATTGCAGGCTCCTCCAGAAAAGTCCCCACACCCCCTGGCTTCGATCTCGGAGAGCTGCTTCTGGGCTCCTGCGAACTGGGAACCCGCAGGAGGCTGACTCGACCTCTGGGGGTAGCTGTGCTGAGACTTCCAGTCCCCTGCCCCCTCCCCCATCCCGGCGCTGACGGGGGG